TGTTTCCCCATTTTCCCCACAAAATCTGCATTCGCCGTTGTTTCTCAGTTTCAGCCTACTGAGGTGTTCGTTGAGGAGAAAGTGTCCTGTTAGAAACCCCGTGACAATCCAAAGATTGTTTTTACTTAAATCAAGGAAAACCTTTGATTTTTCTCGGTCGTAAGTTCTGAGGAACTTTTTCGAGTGTCTTAGACCGTTGGAGGACACCCATTCTATATTACGGATGGAGTCTTCCAGATTCTTCAGTTCCGCTTTCAGTTGGTTCCCGTTAGGAAAACAGAACGGTTCTGGTCCAGTTAGTGGAGTGTTCGCTTCTTTTCTAGCTAGATCATTTGCTTTTTCATTGCCTTCTATCCCTTGGTGAGCAGGCACCCAAACTACACCGACTTTATTTTCTTTGCCTAATTTGTTAAGCTTCTCTAGGCATTCTTTGGCCAACTTCGAATTGATGGTTACTGAGTTGATCGCGTTAAGTGCTGCTTGACTATCGGATAGGATGGCAATTTCCTGTTTTCGATAGTTTCTATCTAAGATAAATTGTACGCATCTTTCGATAGCGTAAATTTCTGCCTGAAGGATACTGGGGTAGGTGCCCATTAGTTCGGAGTATTTAGTTTTCGGCCCAAATACTCCTATCCCTGTCCCTGCTTTGGTTTTGAAAGCATCAGTATACCAAGTGATGGTATGGTCTTTTATATGCTGAGTAAGCGTTTCTTTCTTCCAATTCTTTTTATTACTCAATACTACAGTGAGGTGTTTCTCAAAGTTGTAAATTATTGGTATGTCATCCACTGGGAGGTGGAGAAGTGGAATTTTATTTTTGAGGGTGTTCCAAGCCCCCGACCTGAAAATTCTCCCAGTACTGTTTCCGTCAATGACCATTCTAATCATTGTCGCATTGGCATAACTGCCGACGACGATGTGCAGTGGTGTTAGGTCTAGAATGACCTCCATTGCTGCTGTTGGACATGTTCTCATGCACCTGTGATGCAGATACATGCCAGTCTCTTTACTTTGCACAGGTTTTGCCTTGCTGTACGTTGCTCTAGTTTTGTATACCAAGCAACTGCTCCATAAGTAATCATGGGTCTTACTATCATGGTAATACAACCAGCGCAAAATGTTAGGGGCGCAGCCCCACCTATTTCCCCCCAGTCTTCTGCATATCAGAGAGTCTTTGTGGCTTTGCTAGTAATGTTCTTAATATGCCTGTTCCAGAGAAGTTTACTATCCAGGGTTATTCCCAGATATTTCACTTCCAGCGATGGCAGTATTTCCTTTCCATCTAGATACATTCTTTTCAAGTTTTTCAAACTTCGCTTTCTGGTGAATGGCACTACTGCTGTTTTATCTGAGTTAATACTCAGCCCGACAGTCCTGCACCATCTCTCAGCGATGCGGAGTCCTCTTTGGATAATATCACACAGGGTGCCTTCATGTTTCCCCCGTGCAATGATGACTATGTCATCTGCATACCATATGCAGTGTATTCCCGCTAGAGTTAATTCTTCCATTAGTTCATCCACTACCAAGCTCCACAGTAGGGGGGAGGTCACTCCACCTTGTGGAGTTCCTTGCGTTGTTTTAACAACTACAGTTTTGGTACAACTGCTGTTCGTGTTGAGAGCATTTCCCAAAACCAGCGAATTATCGTACTGTTCACCCCTCTTGTTTCAAGAGATCGCTTGACCACGTTGTGAGGTATATTGTCAAATGTACCTCACTGCAATGTCCAAGAAGGCACAAAGTGCTGTTTCTTTGCTATCCAGGCTTGCCTGTATTAGCTCAGTTAACTGGTACAGAGCAGTTTCTGTGGATCTGCCCGCTCTATATGCATGCTGACTATCGTGCAGTGGCTTAACCTGTAGATGATTTACTCTAATATGGTTGTCCACTACTTTCTCCATCGTTTTTAATATGAACGATGTGAGACTAATAGGCCTAAATCGTTCATATTAAAAACGATGGAGAAAGTAGTGGACAACCATATTAGAGTAAATGAGAAGGGTAAATCAAGTTCTGAATTAGGCCATTCCCAACAAAGTAATTTGTTTCACCGAAAATGACTACAATTTTTGACACAATAGCAAAATTGTCTAGTCTAGTCCGAAAAAAATCTCTTTTTTCAAAGATTTTCCTTCGATTTTCGCAGTTTAGTCAGGTTTGTTTGGTTACGCTCCATCTATTTCTCAAGTGGCCGAAAATTCCTTTTAATAAAATCATCCCCCGTAATAAACGCCCGAAGGGATGATACCGCCTTAATTCGATTTGTCGGCTAAGTTACCCTCCGGTTAATCCAATCCCTGTTTGTACTGTAAGTTAAGACGGATTCTTTGTTTATATGCCATTTATTTCGGTTAGTGTTTGGAATAAAAAAAGAAACGAAAAATCCGTCAGACAAATCTTCAGGGATATCCAGAGACAGGGTGGTTCCTAAAAAACTTTCGAGTGTGCGAAAATATGCATTTCGTATGCTTAGGATTGAGGGGGGGGGGGAGGTATACATCGAATTCACAATATAAATTAAATCGTAGATTTAAAAATATAATTTTAGTATTATTTCGAATTTAAGGAATTTATTACGAATTATTTTTTCTAGTAGTACCTATTAGCATTTTATTTTCTCATCAATATAAGATTATAATATGTATACAGGGTTGTTCACCACATACGACACGGAGTATTGTAGCTAAACGATTAGATTTTTACAAATTCTAAGTTTTGGGTTCGTTGAAGGACTATTAGAGCTACAATTTAAAAATATTTTTACAAGATACAGAGTGTCCCAAATAAATAAAAAATATCAAAGTTGTATTTTTTTAAATGGAATACTCTGTATATTATTACATTTTTAGTTTCTACGACCTTACCGTTTTTGAAATATTTTCAATTTTGTCAAATTGCAGTAAAAATTTCAAGGCTTTATTTCTCCAAGGGTATCAAAGTTTTTAATACTAAATATTTACTGAAGTTTATTTATTGATCAGTTATTGTGTTGCAATAATAAAAATAATACTACCTTATATACAGTGTCTAAAAATTTATTTTAAATAATTATTAGCTTTAAACGGCAATAACTTGTTTAATTTAAATAGAACACCCTGTAAATTTTATGAGAATCAGATGCACAATTTAATTGTCTACCAAATTGTATTATACCATTTTTTACCTATTTCTTTAAGTTTCTGTAGAAAATGCATTTTTTGTAATTTAGACCTTATTTATTAATATACCCATGGAATGTTGACATTTTAGATTATTTTTAAAGATGTACAATATTTTTAAAGAGTACAGATACTAATATTGTCGATATAATTCGATATATTTCATTAATAAATAAAAAAACTGTTTAAATATTTGTTAAAGAGAACCAATTTATATGATTCCAGTATTCAAACTACACAAACTGACTGTTTGCGTTGATTAATAATAATTGCCCCAAATACTAAAAAGCTGAGTTTTGTATGTGTATTAGACAGTGTGGTAAAAAGTAACACCTTAAAAATTATATTTAATTTTTTGACAAATGCTTATTTATAACAAAAGAGACGTTCATTTTCATAACTTATTATTATATTGATTTCTGATTCAAATCCACATTTATTTAGAATAATTTATTAACGAACACAATTAAGTATGTAGTTAATTAGTATTTGGGCGGAAATACTGGTGGTATATTTAATTAATGGTACACACTTTTATCAAGATTTAAATAGTTTTCTTTTTGCATACAAATGGGCTAGTAAAATTATCGTTTTACTAAAAACGATAGTATTACTAGCCTGTACATTTTGTACATTTATTGTTTTAAAAACAATCTAAAATGTCAATATTCCATGGATATATTGATAAATGAGGTCTAAATTATAAGAAAATGCATTTTCTACGAAAACTTGAAGGAATAGGTAAGAAGTGGTATAATACAATTTGATAGACAATTAAATTGTGCATCTGATTCTCATAAAATATAGAGGGTGTTCTATTTAAATTAAATAAGTTATTGCCGTTTAAAGCTAGTAATTATTTAACATAAATTTTTAGATACTCTGTATAAGGTAGTATAATTTTTATTATTGCAACACAATAACTGACCAATAAATAAACTTCAGTAAATATTTAATATTAAAAACTTTGATATCCTCGGAGAAATGAAGCCTTAAAATTTATACTGCAATTTCGCAAAATTGAAAATATTTCTAAAACGGTAAGGTTTAAGTGTAATAAACCTTAAGCAAAATTACCTTTATTTTAATCGTAGAAACTAAAGATGCAATAATATACAGGGTGTTCCATTTAAAAAAATACAACTTTGATATTTTTTATTTATTTGGGACACTCTGCATCTTGTAAAAATATTTTTAAATTGTAGCTCTAATAGTCCTTCAACGAACCCAAAACTTACAATTTGTAAAAATCTAATCGTTTAGCCACAATACTCCGTGTCGTATGTGGTGAACAACCCTGTATATATAAGTTTTATCAAAAGTTCGTAAATTGACAGACATTTGAGATACGAATGAAATTACATTTTCAACATCACCCTCTAGGATTGCCAGGAAAATTATCTTTGTGGAATCTTTAGTTTCCCAAAAAAAGTAGCTGTGTTCTATCTTCGCTAATTAAGGTTGATTCTCACTTTAGCGAGGTAACCCTTATTTTCAGCCAAAATGGGAAACTATTTAGGTTTATATTTATTTCTAATTAATTGCTGACTGGCATTAAAGCATTCATTCTTATAGTTCTGATGGTTGTTATCCATTCGTACAATTTTTCATCGTTCAGGTTTTCACCATATATCTATAAATTTTTAACTTTTGTTGATCCAATCGAATTTACTGAAGAAGTTGCTGTGAACAACTTTGGAGAAATTTAGTCTCCTTGTATGAATTTTTATAGTATTATTTCGTTTTAATTTTGCTTGTTAACTAATCTAATAAACACTCTTCCAGATAATGAATAAGATAATGAGTTTTTTCAAATTAAAAATCGCATTTAAGAGTCACTTGCATGTAATTCTAAATTATAAACCAGTATACAATGCCTCTAGCTATAAAGTACGGTGTTGGGGGTATATCAGATCCGACATGGACTGAAATCATACAGGATGAAGAACAAAAACCAGATTTTAAGAAACTCATTCAGTTTCTTTCAACAGAATACGTAAATCATCCAGAAGGCATAAATCCACCATGGGATCGTGTATTCCGCCCATTTGAAATAACGATCTTCGATAATATAAAAGTTGTTATTGTTGGTCAGGATCCATATCCAAGATTTGGGCAAGGAGATGGTTTTGGATTCTCTTTAAATCCAAATGAGGATATAACTACGAGCATAGATGTTATTTATTCGGCTTTGGAGGAAGATGATGTTGAATTTATCCGTCCCAACCATGGATGCTTAAGACCTTGGGCTTTGCAGGTAAAATTTTTAACTAGGCATTTCTTCATCCACTGTGACAAAGTATTTATTCGAACATACATGCATTTTTTCTCTTAAAAGACATTTCCATTTTTTATTTTCAAAAAATATGTGATAGCAAAATAATAATTTACATGTAGATATAAAAATACTAAATTCAACTATATAGACTATACCGGGTGCATCTAAAAAGTGGCTCACCCCCCTATAAATTTTTTATATTTTCAGATAAAAAATCGGGAATTTGGATGTTAGTATATGACATAAATTAGAATTGATTGCCGTATTCAGTTGTTTTCGGTCACTTTCTGTTGATATGTCGTTCTATTCAGAGTGTCATTTTCTATCGAATCAAATAAAATAATACAGAGGGTGCCATTTAAAAATCGAAAGTTGTAGTCATTTCCAGTGAAAGAGGAAGTAACCGAAAACAATTATTGAATACATCAATCAATCCTAATTTATGTCATATACGGACATACCAAGTCTCATTAGGCTAAGTTATAGGGGTATTAAACGTAGTGGTGTTTACAAAAAATAACTATTTTATTACCTAGCTTTTCTTCGTGAAAAAGCGGGAATCTTTGTTAAGAAACTATTTTTATATTAATTCGAATTTTCTTTTAAGGGAGTATTATTACTTGACGCGGTTCTAACATACCGGAAAAATGAAAATAATACAGGAGGCAGCTTTCCAAATCAACGTAAAAATCTACATTTTGGAAAAGGATGGGAAACTTTCGTAGGAAGTATATTAAAAAAGTTGAGTAAAGAGCATACTAATTTAGTTTTTCTACTATGGGGAACTGACGCTGCGGACGTGGGACGGAGTATTGAAAATGAACAGGATCAGCACAAAATCTTGTCTGCTATTCATCCAATTGCTCATACGTACTCGGATTCAAATTATACGCACTGGAATTATGAGAAGTGTTTCTCAGAAACTAATAATTATCTTCGTTCTCACGGCAAGGGTGAAATTAACTGGCAACTTCCGCTAACATGCGAAGATCTATGATTATTTTTCCTTCAATTAATCTATATACAAAACGAGTATATCTAACAAAAACTTGACTTATGCTAGCATTCAACAAAAAATCTACATACGAAATATAATCCTAATATAATAATCATTGTATTGGTATAAATTAAATTGTATTTTATTCAAACTGATTTTTTATTCTATGTTTTTAAAAGATATATAAAAGATTTGATATGTGTCAAGGGAATATTACCTTAAATCATACTTTGACATGTGAACCCCCAAATCTAACGCCTCAGCATTTTCTCGAAAAAAAAAAATGACAAGCTTTTATTAAATCTATTTATTGTATAAACAATTCGTCATACACCTGAAATTAATACACAAAAACCTGAGAATCTCTTATCTGGCTTAAGGCGGACTCTCACGACTCGTATACTTATAGAAACATTTGTTATTGGCATTATACCTGCCATGTCGTGTGAGCGGTTTGCTTTGAATGAAGCAAAAAATGTTGTTTACAAATATAATATACATACTTGCCAAGTACGCAAATATTGGCGTACTTGCCAAATACACGAGTCGTCAGAATCCGTCTTAAGTTTAAGAGTCCATTTCACTATAGTCCGAAAAAGTAGCAAAATCAGCCTTCGGCATTTAATGTTTTATGTAAATCTGGCTAGGTATTTTTACACAAATGAAGAAGGAAATTAAAGATAAAGGATTATACTAAATATATCCGTATTGTAGCACATTTTTAGACAACTTCTTTATTTTTGAAGATTTTGAAGGTCATTTGGATTTTCTTATTTTGGTTTATGGATTTTAATTTACAAAGATTGGATGTGACACAATTTCACATTTCTGAGAGCAACGACGATTGAACTTGTTTCCATGGATAACTAAGTGAAATTAGTCACGAAAGATAAGAATTGGCTATAACTCAGTAATTTTGTGAAAGAAACATATTATAGCTTATATTGCTGAAAAGCTTAAAAAATGGCGCTTTTTATGAAATCACAGCCAACTATGGTTTCTATTTAAAAAAACATATATTTGTGTCATATGTCAAAAATGACAGGTTTTATAAAAAATCGGAGAACACAAACTCATTAGGAATATGATTATCTACAACTTTTATCTGAACACTTTTTGTCTAAAATAGATTGTAATGGAATTAGGGACAATTTTTAAAATAGCCAAAATTTGTTTTTTTCGAAATATCTAGTAAGCCATGAACTTTTTCAAAAATCTGAAAGGCGCATATTTATGACCCCACAAAACTGCAATTCTTTCCCCATTTAACCTACTCTCTATCTCCAGTAGTTTCCGAGATGCCCATAGAGAACATCGTAGGAAACTCACCCTGTATATTGACAATGTTTATCATGCTAGAATATAGAACAGCATATATTTAAGGTTATTTTAGAATAGTTATTATATTGTGTTTAATTTTCATTATGTCAATTATATATTTAAAATATTATTTTTGTTTATTTATCTAGATAAATATCTACTTTAGTCTAATGCAGTGATACACTTGATAGTTAATCAGTTATCATATATTAATGCGTATAGTTGGGTCAACGGATCTTTGCGTGCACGTCACAAAACTATGATTAACATCAAATCAATTCCCTTTTATACGCTCTCTTTCTAACTTAAGCAAGACAATTCGAAGAAATACTGAACGTATGTCTTCATAGTTATCCGACATACGGTCGGAGCTAAAGTTATGTGTAAGACAAGGAAAACCCCTAGCCAAGGATCACTCAAGTTTCTTTTCTAAACATTTAAAGTCAATGCCGGCGAACGCAAAAATAAATCGATTATTTATTTTCGGGTTCTCGTTTTAAAAGAAATGTACTAAATTTAGTATATTTTTTTAATAAAGGTACACTGGTGTTCACTTCATACTAACTTCATTTGCATTATAATTTCTTGTTTTTATTTTATAAGGGATCCAAGAACTACATCCTATTAAAAAAAAAGACAGCTTTTCCTTTATAATTTCCTAAAAAAAGTAACTTGTACTACAATTTAGTACATTTTGTGGAGACGTGCGTACATCTGTAAAACCCTGGCAGCATCCATGCATGACATTTTTGTCATTCGGTGTTTATGTTTATGATTTTGTCATTTTGTCAAAAAGTTAGGGAAAGTTGTTTTGTATCTTTATTTTCTTTGGACATCGTTTATTGCGACTAGCTTTTGTGAAAACTTTTTGTGATTTAACAACAGTTCTTTCCAAAATTTATTTTTCGTGATTCGTTAATATAATTTAACATTAACATTGAAATGCCAGGAAAACGTTTAAATTCTCAAGCACGTATCCTTGTTGGAAATCTTATCTCTTATTTTACGTCTGAAAAAGAGAATAAGGGGCCACTAATTTCCCTGAATGCTGTTCAAGAGGTAAATATATATTTTGATTTATAAAAATACAAGTGCCTAACTAATAAATTTACAGAGAGTTGCTGATGCCTTGAAGATCAGTCTAAGAACGGTTTCAAGCATTAAAATGTCTAAAGATCGAAATGAGCTACCCTCAACACCGGGAAAGAACAGACCTCGAAAAAAATGTAAAACTCAAGACTTGAATGAAGGTTTGAAGATGGAGGTTCGCAATATTCTGTATGACTTGTATGCACAAAGTAAGTACCAATATTATTTTACTGAACTATTTTACTAAATTTATATTTTCAGAGAAACAAGTTACAATTAATAAACTAAACGAGGAGTTGCGTCGCAGAGAAATTGTTGACATAAGTTATGGAAGTCTTCGAACACTCCTTTTTAGTTTGGGATTTAAATACAAAAAGGATGATAACAGACGAGCATTAATGGAGACATCCAATATAGCTTCTATGAGAGCAGCCTTTTTCAGAAAATACATGGAAAACAAAAATTCGCAATTTCCTCGTCAACTCGTATTTTTAGATGAAACGTGGATCTTTTCCAAAGGCAGTAAAATGAGATCATGGCAGGATGATAGTGTTAAGAGTGTTCGTAAGCCAGGTGGTTTTGATGGCAAACGTTTCATTGTATTGCATGCCGGACACTGTGGAGGGTTTGTTAAAAATGCTGGTTTAATTTTTGCTTCAAAATCTAAGAAAATGGATTATCATGGGGAAATGAATGCAGAAATGTTTACAAAGTGGGTAGAAAACCAGCTCATCCCAAATTTAGAAGAACCTTCCCTTATTGTAATGGATAATGCTCCATACCATTCTGTTGAGTTAGAGAGACAGCCATCATCCTCATGGAAGAAATATGAAATTGTTGAGTGGTTGGAGAAAAGTAATATACCTTATGATAAAAAAATGTTTAAACCTGAACTATTAAGCATAGCAAAAATTCACAAAAAAACAAAACAATATAAAATAGATAAATTATTACAAGAAAATGGTCATGAAGTATTAAGATTACCACCTTACCATTGCCAGTTTAATGCAATTGAAATGATATGGGCAGATTCAAAATATTTTTACAATGCCCACATTGGTGAAAATGGACATAAAGATGAAAATGTGCTAGATATGTGGAGAAAAGCATTAGAGAAATGTACACCAGAAATATGGCATGCTAAGGTGGTTCACACTGAAAAATTAATCGAAGACTGGTATGATAGGGAAGTCATTATTGAAGAAGTACCCCAAATGTTTATCAATGTCAGTGATGAGGAAAGTTCAGAAGATAGTGAGAGTGGGGAGAACTAAAGTGGACTACGTACATTTTTCAAATTTTTTAATTTAAATACTATCCATGCTATTTTTAAACAAATAATTGTACTGATCCAAGTTACTTGTAAAATTAATAAATTATTTTTCATTTTCATTAAATTTATTATCTGTTGGAGGTATTATTTAACAAAATATTTAGACTTTTTGTTTTAACCTACTTTCTATAATAGTAATTTGGGTAAAATCTTGTAAAGTTAGATATCTAATACTGTATAGAACTTGATTTCAATATATTAGTTAACAACTCAATATTTCGATCACCAATTATTGTCCTCTTGTAACAACTATCCTATTGAATTATACTGTATAGGCATACTATTGTTCTGTATTTTCCCCTTTTTATGACCTTTTTCCATAAACAATTATTTATTCTAATTTAAAAACGTCCAAAAACTTTACAAATATTTTGGAAAAGAAATTATATTATTTCTTTTAAGTATGAAATAAAATGCCGCTGGCACTGGTGGTAGTTTGACGACTGATTGATTCGTATGACGTTAGGTGACATCAGATTATGACGTGCACGCAAAGATCCATTGATCCAACTTGTATAGATCATTTCCATCAAATGCCTACTAGTTATTAAAATATATATATGAATAGGACTTGTAGATAAGAAAATAAAATTTATCTCTATGACTATTTTTTTATGCTTATTTTTTTTACAGTTTTAGTTAACAACATGCAACTATCTAATAATCTTAATAAACTGAACGTTATCAGTAATAATGTTACTGATTACTGTCAGATAGTGCTGGTAGAGAGTTAACTGTCTCTAAGCTCTGGTAATATGGTACACCTTCTTTATATATACACACACTTTTTAGATCCTGAAACATACATAAATAATAGTTAAATCAAAAGATTTTTTTTTACGTAAACAAATACTAAAACCGATAAAAACACACATAATTAAAGACACTGCAGTAGGTGCGTTTTACATTAAAGCTTCCATTCAAACCACATCTACAAACTACACACGAAAAAAAAATCATTACCTCGCCATTGGTAGATTTCTTGCTTTCCAATTCCAGCAGCAAAGGACAGAACAACAAATTGACGAAACCCACCAGCCGAATAAGCCATGGAAAGCCAAACATTTCCACACCTTGGCCTCCCAAGAGAGGTCCAAATGAATATGCTACAGCAACTGCCGCTTGCTGGAAGGCGTACACAGGACCATACTGAGTACTGCCCTTGGCATCGACAAAATTGGCCAAGAGTGGTACCAAGGATGCATCTACAGCACCTAGAAAAATTCCAGAGTTGTCTAAAAATATTGGACATAAATAGTAAGCTTACCAACACCAAGTCCTAACCCAAAATGGGGTATAGTCAGTTGGTTCATGGTACTGGCCAATGGTAAAGAACAGCAACTAACACCGATCAGTACCATAGCGCTAATAGATGTCCTCCAAGCTTGGACAGGCAGTAATCCTAAAATATCAACAATGTTTTATTTAGTTGTGTTTTATTTTGTGATTGAGACTGATCTTGGTCTTGCTGGACTGTTTAATAGAGCGAGATACTACTGGATAATGTAGTCTAAAAATTAAAAAAGAAACATAATAGATTTGTAAACCAAATAGATATTTACCAGCAAAATGAGAACCAATAAAATATCCTACGCTATCAGGAATGAACACAGCTCCAAGCTGCCATCTGGTAGGTCGTGGTGTCATGTGACCTAGCAACCACATGGGCACACACGGTTCAAGAATAGCCATCGAGGAAGTGCTGATACATATAGCCAGACCAGATAGTACGGTTACTTTGTCTTTCAGAAGGCTGATCCATTTTATGTAAGTCGACTCTACGTTGTTTGGTGGAGGTTCTTCGTCTTCGTCAGATAGGAAACTCAGCTGGAGTACTGCCAACATAGAAATACCGTATGATAGATAAAAACGGCGTCAAAGAGTGGGGAGTGTCAATCGATTAAAGTTTTGGATAGGTCAATCTCTTCTTCTTATTATTACGCCCTCTCCTGACGAAGGTTGGCGATTCCAATGGCAATTGTGGCTCTGGAACAAACCATCTCCTTAAATCTTTTAGCCATGAGTTCTGGCGTCTTTCTACTGATCTTTTTCCTTGCACTTTGCCCTCTATTATGAGGTACAGTATTTCGTATCTATCACCTCCCAACACACGACCCAGGTATTGAATTTTTCTTTACTTGATGGTGTTCAGTATCTCTTTTTGTTTCTGCATGCGCTGGAGTACTTCATCGTTGGTAATCGTTTGTGTATCCATGAGATACATTTCGAAGGCGTGTCCAGCTCTCACATCCATAGAGTAACACGGGAAGACGTAGCATCTGGCCATTCGAGTTCTGAGTTCCGCACTGAGGTCAATGTCTAGACCTCTTCTTCTTCTTCTTCTTCTTTTAGAAGGCGTATCGCCTGTTTAGTTCCGGTTTCCTACTCGTCTAAGCAACTCTTGCGAGGTTAACTGCCAACTGTCTTGCCAAAGTTTAGGTGGTCGTCCAGTAGGTCTTCTGCCATGGGGTACGTTGTTGCGAATTATTATGGCCATTCTGTCGGGGCCCATTCTATTGACATGCTGGTTTCATTCTCTTCTTCTCTGCCTTATCCATCTGACAACGTCGTTTGTTTGGCACTTTTCTCTTATGTCTACATTTCTCTGTCTGTCCCTCAATGTGTATCCAGTTATCATTCTTAAGGTCTTCATTTCAGTAGTTCGTAGGATTCTCTTTGTTACTGATGTTTCAGCTCTGGTTTCCGCACCATATGTCATCACTGGTCTGCATCATCGGCATAGCATAATATGTTTACTTTATGCATTCCCATTCGATATCCTAATCCAGTATTCTTAACGGTTTTTATTACTTGATCCATGATTGTGTTGAATAACAGAGGGCTGAGACTGTCGCCTTGGCGAATACCAGTTGTAGTTCGAAGATGCTGCGTTAAGGTAAAATTTGTTCTTATTTGGGTTGTTGTGTTTGTGTTTAAGTCCTTGATAAGTTCTGTGAGTTATTTCGAGACATTACTGCTTTCCAAGATGGTGATCTAGACCTCAGTAACTAAAAATTGATATAAAATTGGTCAAAAATTAACACTAATTATAGAAAAATTCAAAAGAGATTTAGCGTTTTCAGGCACACAAATAATTTATTTCAAAAAATATTTTTTATCGAGAAGTAAGGACCATGTTAATGACGTCTAGAGCTTGTCCTCTCCAAAATTATCATCCATTGTCATTCCCCAACCGTCTTTGACGCCGTTTTTTCGATCGTATGGTACTTACCAATGCTAATAAAGACAAACAAAGATATAAACAAAAATGGGGCTGTTTTGCCAAACATCTGATAAGCAGCTCCACCAAGAGGGTACCCTATCAGCACCCCCAAGGCTATTCCACCAAAAGCCAACGGCATGAGTCTATTTCTCGAGTCTTTTGGTACGTTTTTGGCTAAGATGCACATTCCACTCACCGCTATAGCTGCTGAGGAACTACCATGCAATGCCCTGGCGAGTACCAGGAGTCCATAGGTCTTACCATAAGCAAAAACTAAATAAAAAACAAACTTTGCATATGCTGTATATAATATGTAGTACAATATCCTTACGTATAGCAGCCACGAGCATGTTACATGATCCAATAAGTAGTGGTACGGTGCAGTTGAGTACTTCAGTCAAATATCCAACCAATGGGGTGAAGGCTAGCTGGACGAAGGCTTTTGAAGCTAATAGGGCTCCAAGGGGTCCATTATCGTTTTCTAGGGATTCGTATTTTCGTTGTAGAGGACTTAGGGATGCAGGTCCATAAGTTTTTGTTTGTTCTTCGTGTTTGTAGTTTAGGGAATTTGAGAACAGATAATCGGGAATGATTGGTACTGCAAAAAATAACTTTTATTAATGATTTTATTCTTTTTTTTCAGTATTTGCGAAACCGCTATAAATTTTAAAATGCTTTAAATACAAAAAAAGTTCATTTTTTAATTCTCCATCTAACCAATAATAACAGGGTGTTCCATTAAAAAAAGCGAAGAAAAGCTAATTTATATATTAGAAAGCTTGACATAGAATTTTGAACACCCTGTATGGCTGTATGGTTTAAGATTATGAAATTTATAGCAAAGTAAGTACATACCATCTCTAGTAAATACCTAGTATAGTTTTGATTTCGTAAAATTTCCTGTATTTTTAATATTTTTTTTTTCAAACAGACGTAAAAATGTATTTTTTTAATTCAGTTATTTATATTTCTGGAACTATCAAAACCTAGTTAATAATATCTCAGAATTATGTAAAGCGATCAGAAAGAAAGCCAAAAATGCTATAGCATACAAGGTGTTCTATTTAAAAAAAAATTATCCCGATCCGCTCACACTTTTTTGAGCCACCCTATAAAAGTTTAAATATTTTTCTGAAATACATCCTAATACATATTGTAGCTTTGCCCTTATACAAAATTCCTAAGTTTTTTTTTATTTCAGCAGCTACACATGCCCGACGCATTGTTGCCGTACCCGTATAAAGTCGTAGGAAACAGTTTGAACCCACAGTTAGCCTGGGCCAAGATGCCAAGAAAAAAAAAATATAACCTTTGAGTACTTTATTTTTTAAATGCCGATACCACTGGCTTCAAAAAAATATAAAAATTAAAATCGCCGACGTACAATTGGGGTCTCTACACAAATTTAAAAAAAAAAAAAAAACTTTTTCAACCAAAGTAAAAAGCGCGCAAAAAGTTTTGTTAATAATAAATAATGACCATCATCACCAAAAGGTATGCTTACTGTTGCCCCCCTCCCTGTTTCTAAATCCAGGAGGTTGGGTCTCTGAACAAATTTAAATAAAAATAGATTTTAATCTAATGGAAAAAGCAAAAAAATATTTTTTTGTAATATTTAAGTGATAAAATTTTACTTTATGATCATAAGTATCATTAAACAAGTAAAACTACAAACTAACAATTAATGAAGTACAATTAATAATTTTAACACACACTGAATTTAGTCTAAAAAGGAAGAAAACAATTAGGTTTTAGTTATAAGTAAATAAATAAATTTTAAACATGGTTACTGTTGTAGAGAACAACACTCCTGGGAGATTTGTTTGACCAATTTGCCTGCCTGGCCAGGTGGAAATACCATTTGTTTAAAAAACGTGAACTTACTGATGATTTCCATTTAAAACTGGGCATAGATAGTGGAGGTGGATCTTTAAAAATTTGTCTGTCTTTATGTTGTTACGAAAATCCCGAAATAAAACAAGAAACACATAAAAGTACCGGAATAAACAAACTTATTTTAATAGGATTGGCTCCCAAAATAATAGAAACCTACAAAAATATCAGAGCAATGTTTGAGATTTTGCAACTCCATACTATTTGTGGAGTCAGTTCTTACACATTTGCCGCAGATCTAAAGTTGATAATGATTATATTGGGCCTTCAATCTTCATCATCATGCCATCCATGTGCCTGGTGTGATGTTAACTCAAAAAATTTACAGTCAAGGGGAGAACTAAGATCCATAAAAGATATTTCCAAATGGCGTACCTTATGGAATGAGGAGACAGGTGGAAATTTAAAGGAAACAAAAAAGTACAGTAAGTGGACTGCTAAGTTTACTTTTTTAATAGTTATTTTTTGCAAAATTTTAATTAAAATTTTTAGAGAATTGTGTCAACATTCCTTTAATAACTGACGATGTTCCAATTATCAACTATATATTTATTTAGATAGGAGTTGTACAAAAAATATACGATTCTCTAAAAAAGAACTTTCCGGAAATTGCTGAAAGCTGGCTAAGAAGTTCTGGGATAGAATTAGACCATTACAGCAGATTTAATGAAAATAATGCCAGAAACTTGCTTAAAAAAGTTAACGTTCTTAAAGCACTAGATCCTGGTACTTACTTTGTAACAAAACTTTATTTTATTATTGTTATTTGGACACTAAGCCCTTTGCTTATTTTTTTAGAGAACAAATACATAGAAGCATTTTGTGCCTTCAATGATGTGGTAGCCAGCTGTTTTGGAAAATATATTGATACCAATTACGAAACCTATATACTGAAATTTTCCGACAAAATAAGAGATACGAAAATCAGTTTTACTCCAAAAATTCACGCTGTTGTTCATCATATAGTGGATTTTGTTAGTATTTCACAGAAAGCATTGGGCTTTTACTCTGAGCAAGCCTCAGAGCAGGTGCATCATTCCTTTAAATTGTTCTCAAAAAACTTTAATTCAAATCCGAGATCAAAAAACTATCAAAAAAATCTCCTTAGGATTGTAGCTTCCTACAACAGTAACCATGTTTAAAATTTATTTATTTACTTATAGCTAGTACCTAATTGTTTTCTTCCTTTTTAGTCTAAATTCAGTGTGTGTTAAAGTTATTAATTGTACTTCCTTAATTGTTAGTTTGTAGTTTTACTTGTTTACTAATACTTATAATCATAAAGTAAAATTTTATCACTAAAATATTAGAAAAAAAAATATTTTTTGCTTTTTCCATTAGATTAAAGTCTATTTTTATTTAAATTTGTTCAGAGACCCAACCTCCTGGATTTAGAAACAGGGAGGGGGGCAGCAGTAAGCATACCTTATGGTGATTATGGTCGTTATTTATTATTAACAAAACTTTTTGCGCGCTTTTTACTTTGGTTGAAAAAGTTTTTTTTAAAATTTGTGTAGAGACCCCAATTGTAAGTCGGCGATTTTAATTTTTAAAGTTTTTTGAAGCCAGTGGTATCGGCATTTAAAAAATAAAGTACTCAAAGTTTATATATTTTTTTTCTTGACATCTTGGCCCAGGCTAACTGTGGAACCATATGGCTCCTATTTGCGGCAATTTTGTGATTGGCACCCTGTTAAAAGCGTATTCCTTTATTCATAAACATATGTAAAAATTGGCAGCCGGATCTTGTACTGATACTAGTAGAAAAAAAAACTAAAAACATTTTTTTCACTTACCCACAACAGTCAGCAACACATTATCCAGCAAAAACAACAAATAAACTATAACAAACACTACGATTTTCTTGCTGTTCATCCGATCCATCTCGTCGCACTTGAAAAACTGACTAACTCTTCTGGATGGGACTGTACTGAGATTCCAGAACTAACGTACATCATCTGCCCAATCAGGAAAGCCATTTATCCAGAGGTTTGAGAGATAATAAAATTATTTTCCGGTCCAGTGGAGATTTCCATTTGCAGGTTGTTATCTGCGTGCAACAGGGGGATAGGTTTTCCCCTACCTCATTGGTTAAAGTTGTTAAAAAATGAATTTAATATACAGTATGTCCCCGGATTTTATTTACAAGAGAAAAAACTTTTTTATTATTGACATTTTGACAAAAATGCGTTCTTACTTATTAAAATATTAGTTAGTGCTAAAAATTAAAAGGCATTTTTATGGTAATATAATTTCGAGTTTATTTTTTGATAGATGGTTATTATTAATTTTTATTAAAATCATATTTTTTGCTGTTGTTAGTTGTAGTATCACATTAAACTAAATAAATTTAAACAGCAAAAAATATGACGCTAATTAAAATTCTATCAGTAACAATATAATTTGTTGTAACTATACCATTCTTTTTACTTAAGTTAAATAAAAGAATCTTTCTTGTTTGTATCTTTTAATGTATTATCATATATTTTTTATTAGTCTTAAAAATATTCGCACATCGAATCATTTATCATTTTTATAAATATGTACATACATAGTATTCATTTCTTAAAATAGACTTTATATAAATTCACAGAACTCTAAAATCTAGTGACTTTATCCGTGCTAGTTGGGGAGTCGCATCGCAAATTGAAATCGAGGTCTTCAGGTAGGGCGGGACAGGAATACAGGTCCGGCTGCTGCAAACCCATCACGGGGGCGTTTGGTACTATGCCGGCCCTGGCTATGGCGGCTGCGTTGATAGCTGTCACATTCACGCAGTCATAGATTGGCTAGAAAAACAATGTAAAAAAAAGAATTGCTATAACCACAGATTAGGTATCCTATAAGTATACAGATAAAAATCTTATCCCTAATTCGTGGTACGAAAATTGTTTTTTATGACGATGTGCAAACGAGTAAAATTTCCTGTGCGCAAAAATAAACTCACGTAAAATAACAATAAACAGCGTATTAGAGAGAAATCGCTAAACCGAAACCGAAACGTTATTTAGAAATAGCGCTTGGTGTAATTGATCCGCAAATTACGTCAGGCGGTAACGTTATTAGCGGGTGTTGCGTTAAAAATTGACTCGCGCATACCCAAGTAGCATCTCTCTGACTTCGAACTAAATCTGACCTGAAGCGACGTCAGACTTTGTGCAAATTTAGGTCGGGTGCTGGTGATACGACTGGTGACGTCGCTTTCCTATTAAAAGTGACGTCGTTGGATCCGAGTCGGTAAATCCAACGATCTGTCGAGGTACAAAATAACAACGTACCATTTTTATTAATTTCCCAACGTCGTTCCAACGTTGGCTTGCACGACGTACCTATACGTGAACTAGCCCGACGTCTACCCGTTGTCCGAATAGGTTACGTCTCACTGATAATCCCTAAAGTAACGTCCAATTATATTTTGTTGTATTTTATGTTCATATTTTTAACCTAATACTAATTACGTATCTCTATTTACGTCCGTAAATACAACCCATTAAGTAGCATTTGCGGCCTAATAAACATCATGAACATAACCTAATAAAAAGTTTTTGTAAACAAACTTAATTTTTTTATTATGCCTAAAAAAACACTAAAAAGGCATTTAGACATTCATCTACATTTTACAGAAAGAGGTTGAGGCTTTTGCAAAATAATAATAGTAGTAGTGATGTCTTCCCTCCGCCCACGAATGCTTTTTATCCGGAAGAGATGCTGCATTACACTGGTGCATCTTAATTTCATTTTTTAGCTTAGTTTTATGATTAAACCAGCTAGAAAATAAAAAAAATATTTTGCGAGTTACTTTTTTATAGATATTTTTATTTCATAAATCTACCTACTTTTGAAGGCGCTCGTTGTTTTCCGGAGTATTTTAATCAGATATATAAAAAAAGTGACTTCCGTTGACAAAACTGATGTCTGGATTAATGATTCAGAATTATTATAATATCAAATTAGGTAGACACTTATAGTTCTATTCGAGGAGTGATTATGAATCCATTTGTAATTAGGTAGTTTGGTTAGGTTTTTATGTATTCTTTGTAACGAATATGAAACCAAACGTAACGTAAGTGCTTAGCGACGAATTTTGAGTGACTAAAATCCAACGTAATATGACGTTGGTAATTGGTAGAATTACATTCCCTATTAGGTCAGATACCGACGTCGAGGCGACCCGAATCTGTATTCCCCATTTAGGTGCAAATAAGGGTCGTCAGGCGGTCGAAACGACGTTGGTACCCGACGTCGGGTTTATTGAACGCGACGTATACCCGACGTTAGATAACGTCCAAATGCTACTTGGGTATCCTAACCATGATAAGGTATGCGTAAATACTGCATGACGCTATTCGGTTTTCCGATATCTCTCTAATAACTGTGCCGGTCAGGCGCTGTGCACAATTTTAGAGGCCATAAGTGGGCGTGCTATGTGTGCAAACTAGTAACCTAACTAGTGCCCGATTCCGAAAATTGGAACCACGAAAAACAATAAGAAAAAACAAAGTTTATAATCTGTATAATCGGTGCTATACCTAACAGCAAGTTTTTACCTGAGAATGAGCCCTGTATATATCCACAGCACTCGTTCCCGTAGCTAGGGATGGCAAGGCACTTGTAATTTTATCTCTTTCCGCAGCTATGGTCATCAAATAAGTCCTAGGAACAAAAACAGCACCTAAAATTATCCCTCCAGTTGAAATTAACCCGAAACATATCACAAACTCCCTCCAACAACTATCAAGTATTACAAAACTTGGCAACCAGACACACCAAGTTGTCGAAACCAAAATAATAGCTACCGTAAAGTATTTTCCTTCTCTGTAGTTCCTCTGACTCTTGTACATCAAAGGACTGAGACACAAAAGAAACATCAAAATCACAATATTGTAGGACATCAAATACACAAAGTATACAGAACTCAGAATCACAGAACATCTCCCTATAACTTGGAGACTTAAAGCTGCTTGAGCTCCAAAAATAAACAGGGTTAAGAATGCTTGAACTGGTCCTGAAATATGTGCCATGAATCCCATCTCTTTGTTGACGTTTGTCAGCATTATGGCTCTTCCAAGCATCAAGGAAAATGCAGCTGTGTAGCTTAGGGTAACTGACAGGGTTTTGATAGTGCATAAGAGTTCTGTGTTTGATTTTGTTGGTTCTATACTGAAAGGGAGTACAGAACAAAAGAGAAAAACTACACTAAATAGAAGAAGGAATGTCAGGACAGGGTTGCCTTCGAAGATTGTTCTTTGAATGACAGAAGAAAGAAGAAATATTAGTATGGCAATACATAGAATTATGCCTAAAAGTGACAAAGAAAGGAAAGCATAGATCCAGGATTCTGATCTAAATCCGAAAGAAGATATTTTGAAGTCTATTTCTTGGTTTTGTTTTCTAATAACAAGATGGTTAGGGCAAATTGAACCAGAAAATTCATCTTCAGTTTTGTTAAGTTCATTTTCTTCATACCATGTCATGTTTTCGAAAAATATATTATAGGAAGACACTTTATTAGAATTGTTATAAAGGATTTCATAGAAAAATAACTCTTTTAGAGGCTCTATATTCAGAATTCTTGACATTTCCTTTAAATCTGAAACGAAAAATGGTTTTTTAATTTCTGTTTCCGTTCTCAGACAGTTTATTTTATATATTGTGTCGTTGCAGTTTGATTTTATAAAATTTCGGGTCTCCAAAGCGTACTCCAAAAGAGGAGATGCAATATCAAAAAGAACAGGTGTCGGAAAAATAGTTAAATCTTTAAAATCCTCGTCAATTACGTGGTATCTTGGTGGTAAAATGACGTAAGATCCGTCAAATAATGCTAGAACAAAAAAAAAACGTTTAAATGAATTTAGGAATGTTATTATAAAAGTATTTATTTACTGTTTGGTGAAATTGCGTCTAGCGGAACTAAAACAATGGTTGTGTTCTCATTGGTCAGTTTTTCTGTCCGGACGTTAGATAATATCTGGTCAAGTTCGAAGGCAGTACCAAAAAGGACCAGTGTACTGGTTTCGGAGATGTTATAGTCTATAAAACTTGTGTTTCTGAAAAGAATATGTTATTAATGAGTCCCTTTTTTTGTAGAGGATAATTTATTATTAGAGTTTAGATTTAAAATTATTTTGATAATATACAGGGTTTGCCAAAATGTACTAAGAATACAAAAAAAATGTTTTGCTTCGTAAACAAATTCTGTAAATTAATAAATTGTTATTTAGAAGAATGGTCTGTAAAGTCTGTCCAGTGAGCTAGGGAAGATTTTGACAGACGAGATCCAAAAAATTACAGAAAACACACAATGTGAATTAAGATGACATATACAACTCTCAGTGTCATGTTTCCTCTAGCTGGACAGACTATACTACAAAAATGTGTATTTTCTATAAACTAAAATATCAATAGTTTGATTCTACAGTATGTCCCCCGATTGTCAGAAAAAAAACTTTTTCAGAAAAAAATGTGTTCTTTATAAAAAGTTTTGCTTCTTTTAATATAATTAATCCTGTTTATATTTTTCCAAATTTCCATACTGTTTTAGAGAAAATTTTAAAAGAATTTCAAAATGTAGTTCAAGTTCATAATACAGAGCTACTAAAAGGTGATTATTATTATTTAATAATTTTCGAAAAAGATATTTATTATAAAATACCGCATGATCGAAAAAAAAACGGCGTCAAAGACAGCTGGGAAATGACAATCGTAATTTTAGCGGGGTCAATTTCTAGCCGTCATTTACTAAAAATTTACTAAAAAAAAATTAAAGTTTAAATAACGTCTAGGACTTGACCTCGCTAAAATTATCATCGATTGTCATTCCCCAGCCGTCTTTGACGCCGTTTTTTTTTTCGATCACTTATATTAAATTATTTTTATTATTTTATACTTACTGAAGCACTATAAACTCCTTCAAACAAACCCTCAGCCTCCTAGATTGTCCGTAAAAAGCTTCCAGACTTTTTTCTTCAGTTGTCATCACTGTCACTTCATGATCTCTTCCTAACTTCTTCAAAAACATCATCGAAGCCTTTATGACAGACTCATACTCTTTTTTCACACTTTTAATCCTTAGATCTAAACTTCTAGCAAACTTTCCTATTTGTTTATTTATTTTTCTTGTTGTAATTATCCCTAGAGTATAATTTTCATCGGTTTTGTATATTTCAAAGAGAGTTTCAAGAAAATCTAGTTCAGAACATGTTTGATATATGCTCAGACCAAGTTTGAGAGGTGACAAGAGTTCCAAATAGTTGATTCTTTGAACAGTCCATAATGCTGAATGAATTAGTGAGTTTCTATTAGCATCCAGTGAACCATTTTCACAATTTTGATATAGGAAAGCTATATTAACGTCTCCTTCAACACTATGCAGTTTTCTAGGTGAATTTTGAAGGGTGATCGCACTGAAAACACTGAGAACTATCACTAAACTACTGTAAAGGTACATTTTAATTTTTTTTATGAAATTGTGCTGAAAATGATGTGTGGTATTTTCATTCTTTTATATCCGTTTTAAGCATCGGTGAACATTATACTAAACCAAAACGTACGTATAGTTTTTGAAGGACTTGGTCTAGTGTTTGTATTTATGGAGAGTATTAAAATTGACGGGCTTCCCTTAGGGCCACTGACAAACTTGACCAGAAGCTTTCATTATTCAGATTTACTGTAAATTGAACTCGTTTTGAAACAATGATGTGCAAAACATCTCCGATCTAGATATTGTAGTTCTTTAGAAACTTCTAATGCATGCTCCGCCTCTGGGACACTCTGTATACCTAATTTATTTAGTTAATCATATCATAGGCGTAAAAAAATAGTAAAAACTGGTAGCAAAAACACCTGTCTACGATAATCAATTTAATGAATCCTTTAACGCTTAGGTTTGGTATGTAATTTCAAGAATATCGTTAAAATTCGGATGTATTAGACGTTATAATGATGCTTGTAAAATAGGAAATGCTTTCTATGTCTTTGTATATTTAATTACAAACTATTAAAATTGTGTAGAGTAACTGTTAAGTTTACTGATACGTGTCTGTAATTAGCTACCAACGGTATTTATCATTAAATCTGTGGTATTCTATTATTTGTAGTAAATAAATATGGGTCAGGTGCTTAATAAATAAAGTAACATTTTATACAGGGTCAGGCAATAGTTTCTTCGGGCATGTAAATTCTTCGCCTAGAATAAAAGTATGTACTGGGATGTATTTCAGGAAAATATTTAACATCTACAGGGTTGCTCAAAAACGTGCGAGTTGATTGGGATGATATTTTTTTAAATATAACATCTTGTATATTATTGCATTTTGGCAATATGTATGTTATTGCATTTCAGCAATATGTCATTTTATTGATTTTATGGAAAGCACTGTTCATTAAAATGTTGTATCCTATGTTATAGGACTTGTTTCTCTCTACAATTTCCTGTTTCACAACGTACCGTTCGTGTCGGGGAAGGGATCATAGTTTCATAGTTGTCGATTTTCGAAAGAAATCAGTACATGTATATTATTTCGTATATTTTTTATTTTATTGATTTTATACTGTTCATTAAAATGTTGTATCCTATGTTATAGGGCTTGTTTCTCTCTACAATTTCCTGTCTCTTAGAATTTTAGAATTTAGAATAAGTGACAGGGGGGTTAATCTCTGCGACCTTAGAGATCTATTGTGTCCCCCTTTCTTGAGTTATAACTCATCATACAGTCCCAGGACTTCCTACGGAGACCCGTGTCCCTCACAGTCGACGAGCTACGACCCAGGCCGGGTAGACGAAACGGTAGCTTGTGTCGCCTGTTGGGTTTAGAGGTAGGCTCCCGACCCTTGGAGGAGGTGGTAGCTTGTATGCCACTTGCGGAGGATACTACACGCAAGTATGAGCCACCTCCTCTGTAGTTCTCTTTGGGTTTGGCCCCTTGGAACTTTCATTGTTACTGTTCCCAGCGTCGCTAGGGGGTTTTCCCACAGCTTCACCGGTGATGTTTTTATTACTATTATTATCAGATCTCATAGTGTTCCTATCAGTCGCTAGGGACAGTCGGTCCACTTCTACAGAGCCCCGCATGTAGAAGTAAGGGGTAAAATACAATGGGGTGCCCCCCGATGCCCCAAGGCTGAGGCTGTCCGTAGCCCCGCCCGGTATCGTTATATGTCTTGGTGCAATTCCGTGGCCACGACACTACAGTCAGGGACAAGACGATGAGTGAGATGCTTCTTAGACCAAGCCAAGTGCTAGAGGGGATTCCCCCCAGCACCTGACCAGGAGCTTCCCCACCAACGACAAGGTCTTGCATCTCCTAGGGGAAGATTTCCTGTCTCACAAAGTACCGTTTGTGTCCGGGAAGGGTTCATAGTTGTCGATTTTCGAAAGAAATCAGTACATTTACATTATTTCGTATATTTTTCATTTTATTGATTTTATGGAAAGCACTGTTCATTAAAATGTTGTATCCTATGTTATAGGGCTTGTTTCTCTTTACAATTTCCTGTTTCACAACGTACCGTTTGTGTCCGGGAAGGATTCATAGTTTCATAGTTGTCGATTTTCGAAAAAAATCAGTACATGTAGGTACATTATTTCGTATATTTTTCATTTTATTGATTTTATGGAAAGCACTATTCATTAAAATGTTGTATCCTATGTTATAAGGCTTGTTTCTCTCTACAATTTCCTGTCTCACAATGTACCGTTTGTGTCCGGGAAGGGTTCATAGTTTCATAGTTCTCCATTTTCGAAAGAAATCAGTACATGTAGGTACATTATTTCGTATATTTTTCATGTTATTGATTTTATGGAAAGCACTGTTCATTAAAATGTTGTATCCTATGTTATAGGGCTTGTTTCTCTCTACAATTTCCTGTCTCACAATGTGTTTGTGTCCGGGAAGGGTTCATAGTTTTATAGTTGTCCATGTTTGGCTTCCTTTTAGATCACTTTACATAATCCTAAGATATGAGTAAACATATTTCATAGTTTCAGAGATTTCAGAGATAGAGGGGGTTTAAAATTCTACGCCAAACTTTATTTTATATTCTAGAAAGTTTTTTTTTGGAAAGGAAGGAAAACTTTTCCTTCGTTTTTTTTTAAATGGAACACCCTATATATTAATCGTTTACTAGATGCATAATTAAAAAATTACCATTTTTTCATAAGGCATTTTCCACCCAATGATTTTTTTCTCGTATCTTACCGTTGAAAGAGCCATATGAGACAATACTTAAAATATACGGCTTTCAGATTTTTCTCTTCTGTACAAATTAGTAAAAATCTACAAAAAAAAAACGCCTGGAACACCCTGTAGAGGGATATTTATAGACCGTAAAAATGCGATTTGAAGTTCTAGACCGTCTAGACCAGTTAGTCAGTGTTCTGGCGATTTACGTGAGTCAGAAATTGCTGGGCAACAATCGATGTAAACTTTTATCCCTTCGTGTGCCTAGCAATCGATTAAATAAAATGATTTTCGCTATTTTAGAAGCAACCCCCCTTGAAAAGGAAGTCTTTGTTGACGTATAATACGAAAAACAATTTTTATTTTCCTACAGTTAATTATTATTATTTCTGGAAAAAATCAAATCATTAAAAAAAATTGATTTGATTTTTTGAAGAAAATGTGAAATTCACAGTAATTTTTACTCTAAAGTTTGGTAGTGACGGTGTCTATACCAGGGTTGGCATGATTTAAATCACGATTTAAAATGAAATGATTTTTTTAATTTTAATCATTGATTTAAATAAAAAAAAAATAATTTTATTAAAACTTTATTATAAATAAAAAATGACTGTAAAAGTTCAAAAAAAATGTCTCCTAAAAACTATAAAAATATTTCTATAAAAGATATAACAGATAATAAATCGAAAAGTAATAATTGTAAATGTTAAAAATACGAGTATATAAAAATATCTTTTCATCAATTTAAATCAAAATAAAACACTAAATCACCACAATACACCAAAACACTTTTACATTTACACTGGACGCGCGTTTCGCTAGCCATGTTAGCATCATCAGCAGATGATTATAAACTAAAGTACAATCTACAAGTTGAGCGTTTATATACTGGCTCAGTGGGCACCGAGTGGGCGTGGCAAAATCTAGCCAACCGAGTCCGAGCCCACTGAGCGTAACAGTTAGATTTCCGCCACTAGAGTAGTAGGAACAAAGAACTTGAAGGAATTGGACCGTTGTCTCTGTTCATACTATCTTTACATTTATTAATTCTGATGCTTTCATATGCATCTAATTGCCTGTAATTTGAGACTTGTTTAATTAATTTTAAATTATTAAGATCTATACAATGTTCTTTATCAACAATAGGTTCGGCAACGCAAGATTTATCCGGTCTACCATATCTTATCTGAGCTAAATGTTCTTTAAATCTAGTTAATATTGATCTTCTAGTTTGCCCAACATATTTCTGATTACAATCTTTATAAGAAATTTCATAAATACCCGACCTTTCCAGTGGAGGTGTTTTATCCTTTGGATTACCTAATAATTGTTCCTTCAAGTTCTTTGTTCCTACTACTCTAGTGGCGGAAATCTAACTGTTACGCTTATTGGGCTTGTACTTTAGTTTATAATCATCTGCTGATGATGCTAACATGGTTAGCGAAACACCCTAGAATTATTAATGTTATCGATAACGGGTAGAGTTATAAAGATCCAGCCATTTAGGATAGGACTTTAATTGGAAATAAGTCCTAGTCATTTGGAAATCCGATTTAAATATTGTTTTGAATTAACATCAAAAAAATCTGATTTAAATCAAAAAGATCAGATGATTTTTTCCAACCCTGTATAATACAGTATATTATACAATAACGATTGTTATTTTTTATTTATAAATCCACGCATAAAAATTGTATATAAAGCCATGCAATGGTTAATTAATTATTTAATCAAATTAAATAATAAAAAAAATATTCGATGCATGCAACTCTGAATAATATAAAAATAAAATTGTTTTTATTTTTAACATATATGTATCATTATATCGCCATAAAAGATGAAAAAAAATTGTATTAACCTCCAGGAACTAGAAAATTATATACTAGCTAGGTTTTTGCATCTAATTGGCTCAAAAACCTAGGTTTATTAACCTGCCAAGCGCATCGAGTGTTTGTGTACATTAGCAAAGGCAATATACCGTTGGACGCATACGAGGGGATGTCAAAAAGTTTCAAAAAATAACTTTATTAAATACTTCGGTTATTAATTTAATCAGTAGTCAAATATACAGGGTTTTTAGTTAAACATGTTTGTTAACTTAGGATCTAATTTTGGTATAAATCTATAGACATGCAGAAGCATGAGATTGAACTTTTTTTCTCAATAATGTTACGTTTTTAAAAAAAGTCTAGTTTATTTGAACACAATTTATTTTACACTAAGTAACAAAACAATAACGATAAAACACTTAAAAAATTTACAAACTTATTTACTACTATTTATCTAAAAAGGATTTATTTGAATTTATTTTAAAAAGAACGGTGAATGGATTGGATTTGAGTGAATAGTATGCAACCAATACTCACACGACAAATAATATAAATTTTTCGGCAAAAACAGTATTACCTGTCGGTATTTCATCAATATATAAAAGATTGGTTATGAACTGACAACATGGGAGTGATTTACAAATTACAATGATTGACGTCTATGTCGAACCTCTGTAAAACTGTGAACTAAACTCGTCACAGATACCGGCTTCTGTCAAAGCGCTACGACTGTATGAGGAGGTATAATTCAAGAAAGGAGGACACAATAGATCTATAAAAAGGAAACACTGCCACTTGTAAGGCCTACTGTGCTTGTTCTTTTTCTATGTCGGCATCCAGTCTTCCATCTCAGTGTCCTGTCCTGCACCAGTTTCTGCAGGTTCTTGAGAGAATCGGAGCACAGTTCTTCGGGTTCTAGCCTTATGCCGGGTCCAGACTAAGGCGAAAAAACGTAAAAAAAGTACCATTTTGAGACAGAAACAAGTCAAACTTGCGACAAAAATGGGGAATTCTGACAAGACAAACTTGAAACAAATTGTCCACATCGTAAGGACAAAAGTACAACAAAGTCAAAAGTTTAGTGGTTGCGAATGAGTTTTATAACCATGTGTGATTTTACTGGCCTCCTACAGTTGGCAGCACACGCCATCCAACAAAATATAGACACTTTGATCTTAACGACTCGAGACGGGACATTGAAAAGTCTCCGAATTTTAAAAGAAAACAAAAATGAGACAAAAATGTCGTAGAAATGTATTGGATTTGTCGCAATTTTGTCGTAAAACGTGTATGTTTCTGTCTTGTCGTTATTTTGTCTGCTTGGTTTGGATCCGGCAGTACTCTTATAACTCAAGAACGAATTCGTATTAATCATTCAAAATTAACAATTTGCTTAAGAAGTTCCTTAAGAAGTTTCAAATACATTTTTCTATAAAATAAAATGGGAAAAACCTTTTCATTAAAATGTTGTATCCTATGTTATAGGGCTTGTTTATCTCTACAATTTCCTGTCTCGTAATGTACCGTGTCGGGGAAGAGATCATAGTTTCATAGTTGTCGATTTTCGAAAGAAATCAGTACATTATATATATTTTTCATTTTATTGATTTTATGGAAAGAACTGTTCATTAAAATGCTGTATCCTATGTTATAGGGCTTGTTTCTCTCTACAGTTTCCTGTCTCACAATGTACCGTTTGTGTCCGGGAAGGGTTCATAGTTTCATAGTTGTCGATTTTCGAAAGAAATCAGTACATGTATATATTTTTTCGTATATTTTTCATTTTATTGATTTTATGGAAAGCACTGTTCATTAAAATGTTGTATCCTATGTTATAGGGCTTGTTTATATTTACAATTTCCTGTCTCACAATGTACCGTTTGTGTCCGGGAAGGGTTCATAATTTCATAGTTGTCGATTTTTGAAAGAAATCAGTACATGTATATTATTTCGTATATTTTTCATTTTATTGATTTTATGGAAAGCACTGTTCATTAGAATGTTGCATTCTATGTTATAGGGCTTGTTTCCCTCTACAGTTTCCTGTCTCACAATGTACCGTTTGTGTTCGGGAAGGGTTCATAGTTTCATAGTTGTCGATTTTCGAAAGAAATCAGTACATGTATATATTTTTTCGTATATTTTTCATTTTATTGATTTTATGGAAAGCACTGTTCATTAAAATGTTGTATCCTATGTTATAGGGCTTGTTTATCTTTACAATTTCCTGTCTCACAATGTACCGTTTGTGTCCGGGAAGGGTTCATAGTTTCATAGTTGTCGATTTTCGAAAGAAATCAGTACATGTATATTATTTCCTATATTTTTCATTTTATTGATTTTATGGAAAGCACTGTTCATTAAAATGTTGTATCCTATGTTATAGGGCTTGTTTATCTTTACAATTTCCTGTCTCACAATGTACCGTTTGTGTCCGGGAAGGGTTCATAATTTCATAGTTGTCGATTTTTGAAAGAAATCAGTACATGTATATTATTTCCTATATTTTTCATTTTATTGATTTTATGGAAAGCACTGTTCATTAAAATGTTGTATCCTATGTTATAGGGCTTGTTTCTCTCTACAATTTCCTATCTCACAATGTACCGTTTGTGTCCGGGAAGGGTTCATAGTTTCATAGTTGTCGATTTTCGAAAGAAATCAGTACATGTATATTATTTCCTATATTTTTCATCTTATTGATTTTATGGAAAGAACTGTTCATTAAAATGTTGTATCCTATGTTATAGGGCTTGTTTCTCTCTACAATTTCCTGTCTCACAATGTACCGTTTGTGTCCAGGAAGGGTTCATAGTTTCATAGTTGTCGATTTTCGAAAGAAATCAGTACATGTATATTATTTCCTATATTTTTCATTTTATTGATTTTATGGAAAGCACAGTTCATTCAGAACTTTATCTCATTTTTAAAATTTAGATGGGATTTCCTATGTCTATAGGTCAGCGATGCAACACACAGTATATAAAACTTTATACATAAAACATCTTTGTAATTTTATATGGAATTGAAAAAGCATAATTGAATGTGCTGTATAAAAAGTCTTATAACTTTTTTTGAGAATTTTAAAATATTCTTGACATAAATTATGATAAATACATATAAAAACAGCTATGATGGAATCGTCACCCTAAACATCTTTATTATTTTTTTATAAAATACAAAAAGCAAAATTGAACGAGCTGTATAAAAAGCCTTAATAATTGTTTATGATAATTTTCAAATACTCTTGACATAAATTATGATAAATACACATAAAAACAGCTATTATGGTTTCGAATCATCAAAGTATTTAAAAAAATTTCTTTTGGCTCGATGGAAAATTTATCTACTCTCCCTGGTCAGACGCCTTCGTTGGTACCGTCTCCTACTTGTATCAGGTACCGTTTGGCTGACTTTCTTCCATCTTCCAAGCTTTCTCTTCAGCTAAGTACCCCAGTAGTACTGCAGAAGCAGCAGCGACACCGCGAAAATACTATCTTCATAGAATCTATGTCAAAAATTTAATTTTTTAATTTTTTTTCTTGTATTTAACTGTGTCAAATATAGTTTTTTTGATATATTTTCATAATTATGGCTTACGGATATCCGTTTTACTATGCGTATTTGAAATATATACTGTTCGCTGGTATCGTGGCATCTTTGCCAGTTGTGGCCCTGATTTTCCTGAAGGTTTTCCAGAAAATCACGGTGGGAAGATGCAGGAGTATGGTGTGTTTGGTCGGGAAGACAGTATTGGTCACTGGGGGATGCTCTGGTAAGATGTAAACTTAATTTTTATTATTTTTATTTAAAATTGTTCGTTAGGAGATAATTAAACCTCAAAATTATTTTTCGAAATTTTAATAGAAAACAAAAAAAAATTGTAGATACAAATATTGTATACCAGATATAGAGGGTAAGTGTCTAAATATCTCGATAAAAGATATACCGGGTGTTGCATCGTCGAGCGGGACATAGGAAATCCCATGTAAATTTTAATGAGGTCAATTATTGGCTTCCCTAATTATTTTAGAGAGTAATTCTATTTAGGTTTATTGAAGAACACTAAAACCTACATTCAAAAGAATAACTTTAGATATTTTTGATTAGCTCGTTTACGAGTTATCGCCGATTTCTTTTTAAATATTTCTCCTTTCTTATGGCCTGTATTTACTTATGAGCACCAGTCAAGGTAAAAGATAATTGTCAAATGATGTTGTCATTTCAGAAATTTACCTATTTAGACAATTATTATTATTGAAAAGTCATTCCTACATCGGAAATCTTAAAGATGTATTTATAAATACAAATTAATATGAATTAAAGTAAAATAAAGTAATCAATTACATGGTTAATTATAGTATTATTACAATATTTAATAACTTATTAATTTAGGTACTATTAAATTATTAGAACTTCAGGATTTGAGATGATGTTCAAATATTCCTCCATCGACTGCTAGACAATAACCCAGGCGATCATAAAATTCTCTTCTTACATTCGCTAGTTGGTAAACTGAAATTCTATTGCATTCGGCAGAAATAGCATTTTTTAACTCGTCTAGATTTGGGTATTTATTATCCTTGTATATCCTGTTTTTTAAATGGCCCCAGAGAAAGAAATCATTTGGCGAAATATCAGGAGACCTTGCTGGCCAATTTACTGTATGATTTAGGCCAATAACGTTTCCGTTAAAACTATTGTCTAAATATTCCCGAACAGCCAGGGTACTATGTGCCGGGCAGCCATCCATTTGGTACCAAACTTCCTGATTTTCCCTAGCGGCATCATGTAAAGCAGGTAAAATATGATTTTCGAGTAGTTCCAAATAATATTCAGCATTTAAATTTCGCGTAAGAAATAATGATAATATTGTGTCCGAATATCCCTGCCCAAACATTTACTTTCTGTGGATATTGCGTCCTTGTTTCGACAAACCTGTGTTGGTTTTCTTTCTTCCAATATCGATAATTTTGAACATTGGGTTCATTATTTAAGGTAAACGTGCATTCGTCAGTGAAACATATGTTTTAAAAAATTCCCTATCCGTGTTTGCTCTTTTCATCATATCAAAACAAAACGCCTGCTGCCGTATTTCGTCCCCATCTCGTAGCTCTTGGTGCTTTTCATATTTGAAGGAATAGTATTTATGTCGTTTCAAAATTCGAAACGCTGTAGTGTGATCTATTCCTATTTCATCCTCAAGTTTTCTTGTGCTGATCTTTCCATCGTTCTCTTCCACGCACAATAAAACTTCCAAGTCGGTATCATTTCTTGCATCTTCTCTTTGTTCCTGCCTTGCTTCACATCAGCAGTTATTTATTAGGGTACCTTTGGTCTGAAATCTCTGTATATTCCTTGCGATTATAGATTTTCCAGGTATCGGTCTATTCGGATACAGAGCAGCAAACATGTCCGACACCTTTTGATAACTATTTCCTTGATAATACCATTTAATCATCAATACTTTTTCTTCGATAGTGTAATTCATGGCTAATATTTTCGATGTAGGTATGAGTTTTTAATAATAATAATAATAAAGCACTAAATAGATAAATTTCTGAAATGACAACTTCATTTGACAGTTATCTTTTACCTTGACTGGTGCTCATAAGTAAATACAGGGCCATAAAAAAGGAGAAATATTTAAAAAGAAATGGGTGATAACTCGTAAACGGGCTAATCAAAAATATCTAAAGTTATTCTTTTGAATGTGGGTTTTAGTGCTCTTCAATAAACCTAAATAGAATTAATCTCTAAAATAATTAGGGAAGCCAATAATTGACATCATTAAAATTTACATGGGATTTCCTATGTCCCGCTCGACGATGCAACACCCGGTATACTATATTAAAAAAACTTTGAAGAATACCGATCCTGTGTCTTGGTTTTAATAAACACTAATAACAATGACAGAACTAGAAATATTAAAGATAACATAACTGTAATAGCTAAGTATACCAGCAGAAAAAAAAAATGTAAAAATATTCTAATACTTTGTATTGCTTCACCTGGCTGCTATAACTGTCAGGGTGGGGATAGTTTTTACCCTTCCCGTACATTATTTGACTTTTGTGAAAGTTCGGGTCGCTCTCAAAAAAGTCAGGTAAAGATAGTGTGTGTAAAAATTCCAAACACACGTGCTGATGATTAAGGCTTGATTAAGGTTTGCAGAGCTTCAGCATTTGCCATAAAATAGCGAGCGATTTGTTACAAAATCATATAAATTATATATCACTGTAACCACAAAACTTCAATCTATTTCCGTGTTGTAACGGAATTTTTAATTATGTCTTTATTTTCGAGAAAATTTAGTCCAAACATAAGGAATGTTTTATTGATGTTTGAACATCAAAATCTTAAAAACAAAGAAGTTGTCTAAAAATGTGCTACTATACGGATATAATATAATCCTTTATCTTTAATTTGCTTTGCTATCTTTTTTTAACCTTTTCTTAACGCGTTTAGCAAAACATAGACATCCAAAATCCCATTCAAATCGGAATAACGGTTGTCAAAATATCTTAAAAATTTTGTTTATATTTTCTATTATTTCTTGTAACAGACAAACGAAGCATTTTTGTATAGAGATAAGTTGTGTCTAATAAACTTATGTCCACAGAATAGAGCTAAAAATAAAAAAAAATATACCTCACACTTTAAAAACAAATCCGTTTCGTTTTTTCGTTCTGAGTATATAAAGAATATTTTATATTGTTACTTATTTTGGCATATTAAAATCATATTTTCGAACGCTTTTCCTTAGGTCTAGGCTTCCAAACTGCCATGGTTCTGGCTTCCAGAGGCGCCAAAGTAATTCTAGCCGATAAAGTCGATGGCAACAAAGCTAAAAACAAGATTATAGAGAAAACACACAACACGAACGTCGTTTTCAAGCTTCTAGACTTGGCTTCCCTTGCCTCTGTCAGGAAGTTTGCCCAAGACATCAACTCGAACGAAGAAAGATTGGACATCCTGATTAACAATGCCGGTGTTGGATCCGTGGGGAATAAACACACGGAAGATCAATTGCACGAGACGATGCAGATTAACCATTTTGGACCGTTTCTGTTGACCCATTTGTTGACAGGTAGGTAATCCAGAAAATTAAGTAAAATATTTGTTGATATAATTTTTATATCCGTGTTTAAACAGGGTGGATCGAATTGTATTCCGGAAAGTTTGGCAGCATATTCTGCAGATAAAAATAAGTAAAAAAGTTTGTATAAATGTATGTCCTAAAATGCTTAGTTTCGGACATACAAGGTGTAGAAGTTTCAATTTTATTTAGATTTTTTCCAAATAATTTCTGAAGTAACGTCAATATTTGGATGAAAATTGATGTCTGGGAGTTTTTTGACATGCGGAATTTGATTTTGGTGTTAATATGACTCCTACTTGTAGAGGGCGCCACCTACATATTTTTTAACTGGTTTGAAGAGTAATAACTTTTCGCCAGTACTTGTATAAAACTGCCGAGTAAAAAAATATACATTTACGACGTTTTTTACGTAAAAAATGTATCTTAATAAAAATCGCTATGAGTAATGGTTTTCGAGATATTTAGAATCGAAATTATCAATACCTGTCATCAATGACATAAACTAAACGTGCATGTTGACTAAATAGTTTTTAGACTGAAATCCTAAATTTCAAATGTTTTTCATCATTTTTTCGAAGATTTTTTTTTTAGAATTTAGAATGAGTGGGAGGGGGGTTAATCACTTCGACCTTACAGATCCATTGTGTCCCCCTTTCTTGAATCATAACTCATCATACAGTCCCAGGGCTTTGACAAAAGCCAGTATCTGGGACGGTTTTATAGAGGGTAGTTCTCCATCTCCAATATCAGTCGTACCAAAGTTCATGGCACGAATGGTTGTCGTCTCGGCGCACTCAGTGATGAGGTGTACTGGTGTTTCACCATCTTCCCCACAGAATCTGCATTCGCCGTTTCTTCTTAGTTTCAATCTACTGAGGTGTTCATTGAGGAGACAGTGTCCTGTTAAAAACCCCGTGACAATCCGAAGATTGTTCTTACTCAGACCCAGGAAGATCTGTGATTTTTCTTGATCATAAGCCCTCAGAAACTTCTTCGAGTGTCTTAGACCATTGCAAGATTTCCATTCCAGGTAGCGGATGGAATCTTCCAAGTCCTTGAGTTCCGCCTTGAGTTGGTTACCACTTGGAAAGCAGAACGGTTCTGGTCCAGTTAGTGGAGTGTTCGCTCCTTTTCTAGCTAGATTATTTGCTTTTTCATTGCCTTCTATCCCTTGGTGAGCAGGCACCCAGTGTAGGAGGACTTTGTTTTCTTTGCCTAATTTATTCAGCTTCTCTATGCATTCTTTGACCAATTTCGAATTGATTGATACTGAGTTGATCGCCTTTAACGCTGCTTGACTATCAGATAAGATGACTATTTCTTGTTTCCGATAGTTCCTATCTAAGATAAGTTGTACGCATCTCTCGATAGCGTAGATTTCTGCCTGTAGGATACTAGGGTAAGTGCCCATTGGTTCGGAGTAATTAGCTCTCGGCCCAAACACTCCGATCCCTGTTCCCGTATTGGTTTTGGAAGCATAAGTATACCAAGTTATGGTATGGTCTTTTAACTGCTGGGCAAGCGTTTCGCTCTTCCAATCCTTCTTATTGCTCAATACTACATTGACATGTTTGTCAAAGTTGTACGTTCTTGGCATATCGTCCACTGGGAGTTGCAGGAGTTTTTTCGAAGATAAAAAGTGGCCAACTTTATAATTTCAGTCAAATAACTATCTACTCAACATATTCATTTTTGTCAATAATGACATGTAGTCCATTCTAAATATCTTGAGAACGGTTGCTCGTAGCGATTTTTACCAAAAGGCATTTTTTACGTAAAAAATCACGGAAATGTATATTTTTTTACTCAGTAGTTTTATACAGGTACGGACGAAAAGTTATTACTCCTGAAAACAGTTAAAACACATGTAGGTGGCACCTCCTACAAATAGGAGTCATATTGACCAATATTGATGCTACTTCAGGAATTATTTGGAAAAAATCGAAATAAATATAAAACCTCTATACCCTGCATCTCAGAAACTAAGTTTTAAGTCATACATTTATACAAACTTTTTTACTTATTTTTATCTGCAGAATATGCTGTCGAAGTTATCGGAATTCTGTTCGGACCACCCTGTACATTACAATGTTTCCTTCTTATTTCAACCGAAGTAACTTTTTGAAAAGTTCAGTCTAATGATGAGTAAATTTCAAAAAGAGGAAGGCCAAGATTAGTAATATTTTTATGTTTGTTATAGGTATAATACAAATTTGATGAATTCTTTTCATACTTTCGTGAATTCAAATAGCAAAAATAACTAGGTATTTGTAAAATTTGAGCTGACCTAATTGTTGAACTAATTACTTCTTTACTAGCGAAGAAAGAATACTGTACGCTTGGTTTCTCTTTTGCAGAAATATGTGACAGTACAGTTAAAATTTTAACAAAAAAAAAGAGAAAAGATGGTCACATACAATTAATCTTTTATTATTTATTTGTTGAAGTACGATTGTTATATTTGTAAAACTAATTTATACAGTTCTTTATAAAAAAGATGATCCAGCTCTCCGAAAATGCTCTATATCAGGTTTGTGGTTTGAGCCGGCACCGACGAAATAACAAGGCCGCTTATTCGTGACGTCATCAACCGGAGGCCTAAACTTTGATTGCATTTGAAACGTCATTCTATATAGAGTGTCATTTTCTATTGAATAAAGTAAAAAAATAGCGACGGTGCCGTTTAAAATCAAAAGTTGTAGTCATTTCCGATGAAACAGGAAGTTTACAGTTGAGGGTTGGAACCTTTGGTGTTACACAGCAAAATAAAACACTAAATCACCACACAATACACCAAAACACTTTTACTTTTACCCTGGACGCGCGTTTCGCTAACCATGTTAGCATCATCAGCAGATGATTATAAACTAAAATACAATCTACAATTGGAGCGTTTATCAGTAGGCATTCACTCAGTGGGCACAGAGTGGGCGTGGCAAGATCTAACCAACCGAGTCACAACCCACCGAGCGTTAACAGTTTGATAAAATAAGTGATAAAATAATTAGAAAACGTAGGTATAGGTTAATGATTTCTGAAAATTCGACTTTTCAAGTAGAGAAAGATACGTCAAAATATTTTTCAATACCGTATGATAGACAGCTATCCCGTGGTCTAAAAGGAATTTTTAAGAATGTCAATTATAAACTTGTGTATAGTGCTAATAATAAATTACAACAATTATTAGGTAATCCAAAAAATAAAACACCTCTACTGGAAAGGTCGGGTATTTATGAAGTTTCTTGTAAAGATTGTAATCAGAAATATGTTGGGCAAACTAGAAGATCAATATTAACTAGATTTAAAGAACATTTAGCTCAGATAAGATATGGTAGACCTGATAAACCTTGCGTTGCCGAACATATATTGTTGATAAAGAACATTGTATAGATCTTAATAATTTAAAATTATTTAAACAAGTCTCAAATTACAGGCAATTAGATGCATATGAAAGCATCAGAATTAATAAACGTAAAGATAGTATGAACAGAGACAACGGTCCAATTCCTTCACGTTCTTTGTTCCTACTACTCTAGTGGCGGAAATCTAACTGTTACGCTCGGTGGGTTCTGACTCGGTTGGCTAGATCTCGCCACGCCCACTCTGTGCCCACTGAGCGGGTATATAAACGCTCCAATTGTAGATTGTATTTTAGTTTATAATCATCTGATGATGATGCTAACATGGTTAGCGAAAATCGAATGTAAAAGTAAAAGTGTTTTGGTGTATTGTGGTGATTTAGTGTTTTAAACAGGAAGTGTTGACAAACAAAACAATTGAATACGTCAATCAATCCTAATGTATGTCATATACTAACATATCAAATATCGTTTTTTTATTTAAAAAAATAAAAAAAGTTATAGGAGTGAGACGCACCCGGCATTTTTTATTATCGTTATATTTAAGCCAAATTATCTAAAATCAATATTCTTTTTAAATAGATTTACTGAAGAAATCTGCTCCAAGTCGGATCATATTCGTCAGTTCAGCTGCAGCGTTCATTAGCGACCTCACCGTGGACAACCTAAACTACCCCAAAAACCACCCGATGTCCATCTACAGAAACCAGCTCATCTATGGCAATTCCAAGCTGTGCAACATCATCACAGCCAATGGCTTCGCCGAAAGGTTGAGAGACAGTGGCGTCACGTCGAACTCCCTGCACCCCGGCATGGTCAACACCGATCTTTACCTGAAATCTGCCAAATTTTTGGGAATCAAGTCGTTCGCGAAAGTTTTTCGAGCTTTAGTCGTGCTTACTTATGGAAAGGTGAGAATTGTTGATGTAGCTGGCAGGGGAAAAGTTGATCACCGCGACCTTATACAGGGTGTTTCAAAAAACATGTGCCATCTCTCGGGGAGATATACTTATTTAAAACTTTTACAAGTTAATGATATTAAAATGTTTTAAAGGTTGCTATTAGACTTGGATCAAGACAAATTAATAAAATTGCGTTTTTCTCATCAAGGAGGCCGGAATCGACAAAATATCAAGACACAATTTTTAATCGCTATTAAACTGCTTACACTATTTTGCTAACAAGAGAAAAAAAGTCAGTGGCGTACATGTTTTTTGGGAAAAATACCCCAGTGATAACCCATATGCACGTCCCTGGTGAATATGTCGACATTTTTTTAACTTTAAAATAGCGATGGAAACTATCGAATGAATTAGACTATCGAATGGTTAATGAATGAATGATTTCAACTATCGAATGATTTTATTCGAATAAAATCATTCATTCATTTGTATACTAAAGCATATGTGACAACCTCGCCGTGCGACTAAATGGTTGTCGTTGAGCCACGACTATCGAATGCTTTTGATAAATGAAATTTAGTATTCGTTTGATTTTTGTATGCGTCAGTGCATTATTAGTTCTTCCAAATTTTTATTACTTCGCCGTATAAATACTGTGCTATTTTTGCGTTTATTAAAATAGTTAAAATACTAAAATAGTAGTTATTTTTTAATTTTATTTATTGACGATTGTGTGCATGTGCAGGTGGTCAAAATTTTTCCGAAAATTTGTGTGGTTTTCCGTAGTCCGATCTTTCAATTATTTAATTTTATATGGTATATGGTCTATTTTTAATGGGAAATTTTGAGAAGTAGCAATTTTTAAGAGAGATGAGATGAACTTACAATTAATTTTAAAAATACATATTTGTATTTTAGATGTTTTATTAATATGAATTAGTTGAACTTAATAATCATATTTAAGTAATGTGGTTAAGTAAATGGGGTTATCGAACTCAAACTATGGGGTGAGAAAATTGAAATGAAAGTTTTACACGTGCCAATTTTAAAAAAAAGTTAACGATGTTTGTATTTTGTTTATGCTAATTCTCTTACATATAGTTTTTTGCGAAGAAATATTTCATTTATTTTTTAAAGTAAATGCCAGTAAAAGTAAATATAATTTTTAAATAGAAATATAAAGCACCTAATATAAATAATTTTGATTTCTAATTTTTTATTTATATTTTCGTTTCATTGCACTGCATGCTTAGAAAATTAATAAATGTTTATATTTCATGATTTTAAAATTTGTTGTTAATATAACAAATTAGTTCTGTAATTATTATTATTTAATAAACCAACGTTGCCAAAAAATTTAGAGACTATATTATTTTTAAATAGGATCTAATATAAATAATTTTGACATCTAATTTGTTGTTTATATTTTGCTACTACTTAAAAAAATATTTATATTAAATTATTTTAAATTTTGTTGTTACAAATTATTACTGTTCGTATAACAAATTATTACTGTTATTATTATTTATTAAACCAGTCTTTGCTTAAAAACATTAAAAATCATTTTCTTACATCCAAAATAACAAGTATTATTGCAGTGTAACAACAGAATATTAATAAAAAAATGCAGAATATATAGACATACTATCCCTAACTAACTAAAGCCAAACAATAATATTCTTTGCTAATATCAACTAATACCAAAATATGGCAACAGTGCCCTTCATAATGTATTTTCTGTGTAAATACTAGTACCTCAATAAAAAAAATAATGTCCTTATCTATATCTGACTCCGCAAAAAATCAAAGATGCCGGCTTCTTTCATGGCATTGCCACCGACCGCTGTCGGGTTTCTCGGAAAGAAACCTACGTCGCCGGGCGACAACTAAAATTCAGTTAATATTTTATTATAATCGATCCTGAGGAATAAATGAATTTCATAAATGAATGAATTTTATAAATGAATGGTTTCTGCTGCCAAATTACTAGAATACAATATTTCAAGGCAGATGACGGATCTATTCGATAATTTTTATTCGAATAGTTTTCAACGAATGTTTTCTTACCAACTATCGAATTATTCGAATGAATTGCAACTATCGAATGTTTCGATAGTATTCATTCGATAGTTCCCACTACTACTTTAAAATATGTCGCATTTATAGTAACCTTTACCCTCAAAATTTCATTCAAAATGCTAAAAGTACTTGGAAGGAAATTATAATAAATCGAAAAAATATTAAGACTTTCACACCCTGTAGCTACGAAACAAAGCAGAATCGGACTTATGTTGATATGAAAAATAGATCTTATTTTTACGTGAGGAATCTCCCCACGCGAGATGGCACATGTTTTTTGAAACACCCTGTATAATATATCGACACATCGGCATTTTTTGATTTTTTTTAATTATTCTAGTCACCGGAAGAAGGCGCTCAAACAATTCTACACGTCGCTCTTTGCAACAAATTGAAGAAAGTGACAGGCAAGCATTTTTGGGACTGCAGGATGTTTCCTACTCCACCCGGTACATGGAACAAGAAATTTGCCGAGGCCATCTGGGACAAAAGCGAGGAACTAGTAGGCCTAAAACAAGAAGAAAAATGCAAAGACGAATGAGTTATTAGTTAATAATACCGGTATGATCGAAAAAAAACGGCGTCGTGTTGGCTTGGCAATGTCGATCTTCATTTCAAAGCCTTCACTGACGCCGGTTTTTTTTCTCGATTATATTGTATTAATTTTAAACCAGAGCGGTTGTATTATCATCTATTATCTGTTACCTGTTTTTAGATATTTATTATTTTGTTCGATCTAGATATAATATATTGAAAAATATTCTATGATTCAAAAATTTTAATTAAAAAAATATTTTGGTGTCTTATAGAAGTTTATTACTTTTATTAGTACTATAATTATAAGAATTGTTGTTTTCTTGTGCTTTGTTTAATATTTATTTGCTTTACGCTTTATTTTTAGCATTCAATGCAATATAGTTTTATGCATTTGATAGAGTTTTTAGTTTCTTCCAATAAAAAAATATATTTGTTACAAAAAACTGTTGAAATTTTCTTCCATAGATTTTTTTTCTTGGTAAAAAATGGGAAAATGTTGGTTGTATTTAGTTATTTTGGTCAATTTATTTATATACAGGGTGGTCCGAATTGTATTCCGGAAAAATAGGTGAAAAAGTTCGTATAAATGTATATCCTAAAATGGCTTAGTTTCGGAGATACAGGCTGTAGAAATTTCATGTTTTATTTCGATTTTTTCCAAATAATTTCTGAAGTAACGGCAATATTAAGATGAAAATCGGTGTCTGGGATTTTTTTGACATGAGAAATTTGATTTTGATGTCGATATGACTCCTACTGGTAGAGGGCGCCACCTACATGTGTTTTGACTGTTTTTAAGCGTAATAACTTTTTGTCCGTACCTGTATAACACTACCGAGGGAAAAAATATACATCTCTGTGATTTTCTAAGTAAAAAATATCTCTTTGTAAAAATCGCTAAGGGCAACCGTTCTCAAGATATTTAAAATGGAAATAGTCAATACATGCCATTATTGACGAAAAATAAACACGTTGAGTAGATAGTTATTTCACTGAAATATCATCATCTGGGAGTTACAGAATTTTCCTGTTGAGGGTGTTCCAAGCTCCTGATCTGACAATTCTGTCAGTACTGTTTCCGCCAATGAGCATTCTAATCACTGTCGCATTGGCATATCTACCGATGACAACGTGCAGTGGTGGTAGGTCTAGAATGACTCTCATTGCTGCTGTTTTGCAGGTTCTCATGGCTCCTGTGATGCAGATACATGCCAGTCTCTGCATTTTGCACAAGTTTTGTCTTGCTGTACGTTGCTTTAGTTTTGTGTATCAAATAAATGCACCCATAAATGTAATCATCAGTTCTATTATCATGGTCAGTGTTGAAAGCCTCTTATGATATGCAGAAGAAACATTTATTATAGTTCACCTTCAAAATAAGTTAGAAATATGCCCCCTGAGTTATGTCCGTTGACACAGCCGCAACTTTTCGGCCATTCTTCGTCCGATTATTCGCGTCCATTTAATATTCCGCGGCCTTCTTCGCGACCTAGACATTACGTCGGGCCTCTTCGACAGTCAGTTGTTATCAAGACCTCGGGTGGCGCATCCGACCAATCCTCCGACAGAACCGCATCGCAATTTTCTTTTTTTTCCTTTTGATTTTCTTTTCTTTTTTTCTTTTTCTTGTTCGTTTGTTTCATGCAGATATCGTTAAGTTGGAAAGTAAATAGGTAAGTTGCAAAAAGTTTTTTTAAAGATATTTTTTAATGTTAAACTCTTGGATGTTTTATTTAAGTTAGTAAGACATTGATGCTATATACCAGTTTTTTTTATTTGGTTTATTGTAGTTCTTATTTGGTTACTGTTAACTGCTCTATGCAGGATGTAAAAAATAGTGTGCCTATCAAACTTTAGTGGGGTGATACTCTAGATAAAAATAAAAAAAACGATAAGATTTAAAGTCTTGAGGAAGTTACAGCCCTAACTACCCTAACTTGAAACATATCTTGTAAATTATCTGTATATCACCCACTTTCAAGTTTGGTACGCTAGTTTTTTACACCCTGTATATAGAATAAAAGATTTAGAGAGAACATGTTTCTAAATTGACTATAATATATTTGAAAAGTTTATTTTAGAAGATAAGAAAAAATATAGCAAAATATTGCATGTGGTTTAGCAGTTTGATCAATCACTATTTAACCATTTCCAAGGAATTATTAGATCTATTTTAAAACGGTAGTTGATTAGTAATATAGACACACTAAATTTTAACTTTTAATACTGTGATTTGAGCTCATAATAGTATAACAGAATAATTTTGTTGTAAGAAAAGGTGAAATGAAAAAAAATATATAAAAAAGTCTGTATTTCGGTTTTTCAAATTTATATAATTTCACAATTTTCATTCATTTAATTAAGTTATTAAGAAAAAGAAGTTAAGTAATAATTTATCATTTCCAGCATCTCATCGATTTTCAATTATGTCTTATTAGTCTCCGCCATATATTAAGACAATGTCTTTGTAACTGTTGTCTATTGTTGGCTGATTTCCTAATATCTTAGTCCCATCGTAAGTGTCGTCTTTCTCTAGGTCTCTTAATTTCTCGTGAATATCATGCTGTAATTTTTGTGGTCTATCTGTTGCTAGTCCTTCTTGTCAGGAGTTCTGCTCTTTTTCACTTGAGGGATCTGATTATGTGGATGACATCAATAACTTGGCTCTTTTGTCGTATCCATTCTATTCTTTTACGGTCTTTTTTGGTTATTCCCAGCATACTTCGTTCCATTGAGCGTTGTGCGTCCTGCAGTTTCCTCCCCATGTAGCATTTTCACGACTTGCGACCACATGTTTACTAAACACAACGTTGGATTAGTTACAAAAAATAGTTTGCTCCGTACCTTGGGTAATAAAATAAATGTAAACGTTGTTGTAACGTTGTGCCGACGTTGAACTAGTACTACAACAAAGTAAAAGCTTCTGATGCGACGTCGAATAAACGTTGTCTTGTAACCTTTTTTGCTTAAGTGATCTTTAGGTGATTCGGACAACGTAGTTACAATGTTGGGCAATAAAGAGTTTTCCGACGTCACTTTCAGGACCTATTCCAACGTTATGCAAACGTCGTCTGTTTTACTAATTCCAACGTTGTTTAGATTTTCTTATTCTTACGTTGGTAGGACGTCGAGCCACTACCTTTTTGTAACTGTATTGAACCATAACCTGAAATCTTAAATTTTCACTTCATTGTTCTGTTCAGTCAGACAGTGCAGAGCTGTTTTTGCTTTTATAAAAAAAACTTAATTAAAATGGGACGTAAGAAAGGCACATTTAAAACTAAATTTAAATATACATCGACATATTACTGATACTTTATCCAGTCCCTCGTTTATTTAGAATATAGAGGGCGGCACAAGCTAGACTCTAGGATGACTAAATTAGGCAATCTTGCGAATAGTGTACTACATGTTAAGGCTGAACTGCGACTTTATTAGTCCAGGTATGCGACTACTCGAACTACTCCATCTTAATCTCCAAAACAACAAAGTGAAAGCCGCCATGTTGTTGAATAAGAAAATGTTTCGTTCCTAAAATAGCAATTCCTACTTTTTGAATACATTAACTTGAAATATTTGACCCTAAACAACACGCGGAAACAATTTTTTTTCGACTGCGAATGAATTATTTTCATTTTACTAAAAAAAATTTAAGAAATTTTTTAAAACTTCTTTAATTTTAAGGCCCATTAGTATTTTTCAAAGTAGAAACAATACATTTATCAATAAAGTTGTTTGCGTTTAACTTTTTTGCCTTGGGTAACGAGTTACAGAGTTGGTTAAAGTGTTTCAATAATTATGATGTTCAAACATCCTCCATACTTAAATAATTTTGTTTTGTTTTCCTTTACTGCCATCTGGCATATGTCTTTAACTAAATCATAAAAATAATATTTTTACTATAATTATCCCAAATTTATTTCTGTGAATTAGGATTTTAAACAACGTTGCAGTTTGTACTAAATTAGGCTGCTAGCCAACGTAGGTATCCAACGTCGTTTCGACCCAAAAATTATTCTCCATACTAGTGCAGACTAGGGTTGGCACGAGGTTGTGCCGACGTTGCGCCCCGACGGCGACGTTTGGTCGCGTGACACAACGTAGTCCCGACGTCCAAATAGTATATTAAAATAAATATAAATAAATAATATTATAAATAGTATATTATGTTTTCTTCTTTAGATAAAGTGGCATTTAAGGTTTGAATATGATTGAGTTTCTTCCATGCTAACTTCCTTCTGTTAATTTCTGAGTATTAATTATGTTATAAGAATTGTTATTTAAATTATTCATATTGACTGAACAACTTCAATCAAAACGATTGAATAATTTTAATTTAAATTCTTCGAACGGTTTGGTATGATTCAATTTCAAAGTCGTTTATTTGCATTCAATGAGAACGAAAAAAAAGCTGTTAAACATCTCTCTGTAATCTTGGGGTAGCTGAATTGTGACATGAGTGAAGTCAAAGACCATGAGGTTAAGGACATTTTCATTGTCACTGAACTCTTTTGTTGATCAAAAACTTATAACGATATTATCAAGTAAAACATGTGTTGTGTGTAGACTAAAAGACACCTAGGACGATTTATTTGAACTGAACTAAGACGGAAAACCGTCTAAGGAATTTTTTTAAGGATATTACGATTTTTAACAGGAAATTTAAAAATTATCCCACATCATTTTCGAAAAATACAAATTCTGGGATTGAAATATATTATCCTTAAACATATATGAGCACTTATTTAAGACTCGCCCTGTGTATCGCTGCAAAAAACTAAATGCCATTTTCCCAGTTCTACTTTTTGCATATTTTTTGTTTGCATTTTGACAGAATTAAAGGTCAGCGGCTTGTAAAAATTACGTTTTCCTATTTTTTATTGATTAATACATATAATCTCCAGTGGCATAGTAAAAAAATCAATTAATTAGGATTTAAAGTATCAAAAAAGTGGTGGACGTCAATGGAATTATCCATTAAAGAAAAACTAGTATAAGATTGAGAAGTTCGAAGTTGTTTATTTAATTTTAATTGTATGTTAATAAGGAGTGGCCTTAAAAATCTTTGCTTGATTACTGTAAGCCGGTTTATTTTTGTATTTACAGGGTGGCCTAAATAATTCGTAAAAAATATTTTAAAGCTTTTTTCCTATTTTTCTTATCTTTTATTTTAATAAAAGTGTTACAATATATTTTCAATTATGTGTATTTATACATATATAATATTTATTTTTTCTATCTTAATATAATTCATAATAACACTACAGTACGGAAATGAAAGGTTTCACATCATTATTCATTATTCACTTTCTTCCACACAGAGTATTGTAGCCAAATGGTTGGATTTTTGGAAATTGTGAGTCTAAAGCTACAATTTAAAATTATTTTCAAAAAGTACACAGTGTCCCAAATAAAGAAAAAATATCAAAGTTTTATTTTTTTAAACGGAACACCCTGTATATTATTACATTTTTAGTTTCTACGATTAATGTAAAGGTAAATTTGATTAAGGTTTACCGCATTTTAATCTTACTTTTTTTGAAATATTTACAAGTTTTGGCAGCTAAATTGCGTTCTTCAAAATAAACGCCTTGTTTTACGGTACACTAATGATTTAACTAAATGAATAATAAATAACCTTGGGGATCAACACAATTAGCCAGGTAATATGCGATATTCCAAATTGATATTTGAATAAGTCAACGAACTGCCAAGCATTTCTTCTTTGCTTGCCATTAATTTTTCGACAATATCTTCGATGCAAAGGAATTTTTTCGTTGGATGAAGAGAAAGTTTTTTCCATTTTTTTAAATACTCATAATTTATTTCACCAACAACTTTGACTTCTAAGTAAAAATGTTGCATGTATGTAAATTGATACTAGGCACCATACGATCGAAAAAAAAACGGCGTCAAAGAAGGCTAGAGAATGAGGGTCAAAAATAATATTGGTGAGGTTAAGTCCTAGACGTCATTACTAGCGCTTACTGGCCAGATGGCCTGAAGAAAGTTGTATATTATTTTTATAATGGGTAAAAATTATATTTAAATGGTGTAGTTTAAAATTTGAGAAAAAATGTTATTTTGGAAATAGATTTGTGTGACTGAAAATTTTCTATCCTTTTTAATTTTCTTTTTTTTTATTCTTTAATCAATTGGTTTATATTTGCAAATAAATATATTTCAGTTGCTTATTATAAGCCTTCTAAAAATGAAAATGAATTCTAAGAAAAATTTATTCAAGCCACGTATTTGTGTCAATTTGTTTTATAAACCTTCCAAGCAAGGCTTTAATTACTTATTCACAAATGTAACACTTATTAATCGAATGAAGATTTTCAGTGAATAAAAAAGACATATAATTCTATGAAAATTGTATTTAGTTTGAATGTTTTTTGTATTGTTGATTGCGTGCCTCTTGAATATCTCTGAAGAGTTGAAATTGACTCAATATTCAATATCAATGACAACTGATCATAAGTGTATAAAAATATCGAGGTATAGAAATTTCATGGTATACAAATTCATTTTTATTTGAATGTAATAAATTTGAAATAATAATGCGACATAATTATAGATTTTTCCAAAAGCAGAGCAAATTATTTCGTTAGGAATGGTATTTAACAGTATGTATTTTGTTGAAGAGATTAATAGTATTATCTGGTGGTCATCTATACCGTATCCCATGTAAATTTTAATGGGGTCAATTATTGGCTTCCCTAATTATTTTAGAGAATAATTCTATTTAAGTTTATTGAAGAGCACTAAAACCCACATTCAAAAAAATAACTTTAGATATTTTTGATTAGCTCGTTTACGAATTATCGCCGATTTCTTTTTAAATATTTCTCCTTTCTTATGGCCCTGTATTTACTTATGAGCACCAGTCAAGGTAAAAGATAACTCTCAAATGAAGTCATTTCAGAAATTTACCTATTTAGTTGTTAAAAAAGTAGAAAAAAGACTCAAAGTCTCGGTCTCAACGTTTATACAATGTTAAACTGTTACACGTGTTTCGCTCATATACGAGCATCATCAGACAAATACAATTAAAATTAATCCAAATACACGTTCACATTTTACAATTTAAACAACACTATTTAGTGCTTTATAATTATTGAAAACTCATTCCTACATCGGAAATCTTAAAGATGTATTTATAAATACAAATTAATATGAATTAAAGTAAAATAAAGTAATCAATTACAAGGTTAATTATAGTATTATTACAATATTCAATAACTTATTAATTTAGGTACTATTAAATTGTTAGAACTTTAGGATTTAAGAAGATGTTCAAATATTCCTCCATCGACTGCTAGACAATAAGCCAGGCGATCATAAAATTCTCTTCTTACATTCGCTAGTTGGTAAACTGAAATTCTATTGCATTCGGCAGAAATAGCATTTTTTAACTCTTCTAGATTTGGGTATTTTTTATTCTTGTATATCCTGTTTTTTAAATGGCCCCAGAAAAAGAAATCATTTGGCGAAATATCAGGAGACATTGCTGGCCAATTTACTGTATGATTTAGGCCAATAACGTTTCCGTTAAAACTATTGTCTAAATATTCCCGAACAGCCAGGGTACTATGTGTCGGGCAGCCATCCATTTGGTACCAAACTTCCTGATTTTCCCTAGCGGCATCATGTAAAGCAGGTAAAATATGATTTTCGAGTAGTTCCAAATAATATTCTGCATTTAAATTTCGCGTAAGAAATAATGGCCCGATAATATTGTGTCCGAATATCCCTGCCCAAACATTTACTTTCTGTGGATATTGCGTCCTTGTTTCGACAAACCTGTGTTGGTTTTCTTTGTTCCAATATCGATAATTTTGAACATTGGGTTCATTATTTAAGGTAAACGTGCATTCGTCAGTGAAACATATGTTTTTTAAAAATTCCCTATCCGTGTTTGCTCTTTCCATCATATCAAAACAAAACGCCTGCCGCCGTATTTCGTCCCCATCTCGTAGCTCTTGGTGCTTTTCATATTTGAAGGAATAGTATTTAAGTTGTTTCAAAATTCGAAACGCTGTAGTGTGATCTATTCCTATTTCATCCTCAAGTTTCCTTGTGCTGATGTTTCCATCGTTCTCTTCCACGCACAATAAAACTTCCAAGTCGGTATCATTTCTTGCACCTTCTCTTTGTTCCTGCCTTGCTTCATATCTGCAGTTATTTATTAGGGTACCTTTGGTCTCAAATATCTGGATATTCCTTGCGATTGTAGATTTTCCAGGTATCGGTCTGTTCGGATACAGAGCAGCAAACATGTCCGACACCTTTTGATAACTATTTCCTTGATAATACCATTTAATCATCAATACTTTCTCTTCGGTAGTGTAATTCATGGCTAATATTTTCGATGTAGGCATGAGTTTTTAATAATAATAATAAAGCACTAAATAGGTAAATTTCTGAAATGACAACTTCATTTGACAGTTATCTTTTACCTTGACTGGTGCTCATAAGTAAATACAGGGCCTTAAGAAAGGTGAAATATTTAAAAAGAAATCGGCGATAACTCGTAAACGAGCTAATCAAAAATATCTAAAGTTATTCTTTTGAATGTGGGTTTTAGTGCTCTTCAATAAACCTAAATTCTCTAAAATAATTAGGGAAGCCAATAATTGACCCCATTAAAATTTACATGGGATTTCCTATGTCCCGCTCGACGATGCAACACCCGATATAACAATCACACTTGTTCTTGGAAAGCACATACTGTCTTTATATCATATAGGTACATTTTTAATCTGAGACATCATAAAATTATATTTTCTTACAGATGATTCTGAAAATAACACTGGACGACTTACACCTACCCAAAGATGCAGATTTTACAAATTCTAGTTATAGTATGTGCTAGTTTTTTGGAACTGGTAAGAGGTCATGGAAGACTCATGGATCCTCCAGCTAGAAACTCCATGTGGAGGTTCGGATTCCCAAATCCAGTCAACTATAATGACAACGAATTGTATTGTGGAGGATACTCAGGTAGGTAGAGTCTGGATATCAGAGAAATAAGTAACATAGAAGCGCTTTACTATACAAGATGTATGAGTTTTTTTTGAAGAAAATAGTTTTATTAATAGTGAAACTTATACTCTTTGAGACAAGGTGTACGTTTGAGACGACTTTCGTTTCGAACGCAGCAAATTATTTTTTAAATATTTAGAAAGTAAGTGGTAATACCTAGTAGGTATATACTTACATAAATTAGTCAGATTAATGCAATCAAAATGTTTCAGTTCAGTGGGAACAAAATGGTGGAAAATGTGGAATATGCGGCGATGCTTACCATTTAGAAGAACCAAGACCACATGAAGCGGGAGGCTTATATGCTAAAGGAATCGTTGCTAGACATTATAGGTGAGTCAAATTATTGTATATATAGTAGATTATATTAATTGGTAGATAGAAAATACATTTTAATAAATAACAAAATACTGGAAGTAGTAGAAGATTATATTTAAGAAAACTAATACATGGTTCAGGATCTCTACTACCAGGAATCAACAGAAGAATTAAGTTAGCATGGAGTATATACAGGGTTGTTCACCACACACGACACGGAGTATTGTAGCTAAACGATGAGATTTTTACAAATTGTAAGTTTTGGGTTCGATGAAGGACTATTAGAGGTACAATTTAAAAATAATTTTACAAGATACAGAGTGTCCCAAATAAGTAAAAAATATCAAAGTTGTATTTTTTTAAATGGAACACCCTGTATATTATTACATTTTTAGTTTCTACGATTAAAATAAAGGTAAATTTGATTAAGATTTATTATACTTAAACCTTACCGTTTTTGAAGTATTTTCAATTTTGTGAAATTGCAGTAAAAATTTTAAGGCTTCATTTCTCCAAGGGTATCAAAATTTTTAATACTAAATATTTACTGAAGTTTATTTACTGATCAGTTATTGTGTTGCAATAATAAAAATAATACCACCTTATACAGAGTGTCTAAAAATTTATTTTAAATAATTATTAGCTTCAAACGGCAATAACTTGTTTAATTTAAATGGAACACCCTGTATATTTTACGAGAATCAGATGCACAATTTAATTGTCTATCAAATTATATTATACCATTTTTACCTATCTCTTTAAGTTTCCGTAGAAAATGCATTTTCTTGTAATTTAGAACTTATTTATCAATATACCCATGGACTATTGACATTTTAGATTATTTTTAAAGATGTACCAAATTTTTAAAGAGTACAGATACATGACAGATACTAATATTGTCGATATAATTCGTTTATTTCATTAAAAAATAAAAAAAACTGTTTAAATATTTGTTAAAGAGGACCAATTAATATGATTCCAGTATTCAAACTACATTAACTGACTGCGTTGATTAATAATAATTGGTCCAAATACTAAAAAACTGAATTTTGTATGGGCATTAGACAGTGTGATAAAAAGTAACACCTTAAAAATAATATTTCATTTTTTAATAAATGCTTATTTATAACAACAAAGACTTCAATTTGATAACTTATTATTATATTGATTTCTGACTCAAAAATCCACATTTATTTATAATAATTTATTAACGAACACAATTAAGTATGTCATTAATTAGTATATGGGCGAAAATAATGGCGTTATATTTAATTAATGGTATACTCTTTTATAAAGATTTAAATAGTTTTCTTTTTGCATACAAATGGGCTAGTAATATTATCGTTTTGCTAAAAACGATAATATTACTAGTTCATCGCGCGTCGACGAGAACGGCGGGTGACGTCAGACCAATAGAATATCGTTTCAATTCGCGAGGCGTCGTTTGCGTTGTCCATAGTATTTTAATGGCCCGTTTTATAAAATTGTGGTACTGCTTTCAAGAAAAAAGTTTTTTTTTGCATTTACACATATTTATTCTAATAAATTGAACAGTTTCTGGCGAAAAATAAAATATATGCATCTTCCTCATTAAGAGGTAATCTGATGATATTAGCAAATTAGGAGGGATAACATGGACCCGCATAGTCAACATTAGACAACAATGGGCCCAACTACACAGAGATTATCTAAATAATGTGAGGGAGGCTACACCATAATTGGAAATGGTTGAATAAGCTGGAAAATCCCAAGAAAAATGTAAAATTTGGAGCAATATTGAACTCTTCTACCAGTTAAAATACTTTCATTTAGTTACAAGACACCTTGTATAGTTTGATTTATTTTTTTCAGTGTAGGACAAAATATAGACATCGAGATAGAGCTGACCGCAAACCATTATGGCAAGTTTGAGATAGCTCTGTGTCCGAATAACAATCACAACCAGGAAGCCACACAGGAATGTTTTGATAAACACCCCTTGTATTTATCCGGTACAAAAAACGATAATGCATTTGTTATACCTGAAGATGGCGTTAAGAAGAAAGTTTTTCGGTAATCAAATCTCAATAAAATAAAAAATAAATACAATTTCATAAACGTATGTTCCCGGATTGCCTTTACAACAGAAAAAAACTTTTTTATTATTGGCATTGACAGAAAAATGCATTCTTACGGTTATTATATATATAAATTCGGGTCAGAACGTCCTACGACGTTGTCCGATGCCTAACTTCCACCCTGTACGATTTTCCCATCGATCTTCGGTCAGATTTTTCTCGCTTATCGACCTTCTTATTCCTTCCATCCATGTTTTCTTGGGACGTCCTCTCTTTCGTTTACCAGGTGGTATCCAATGAATGACTTGTTTTGGAATTCTTTCATTGTGCATTCTCTGAACGTGGCCGTACCATATTAATTGTTTTTGTTCTATATCATTTACTATTGTTCCCTCTATTCCCATCTGTTGTCTAATGTCTTCATTTCTGATCTTATCCCTCCGTGAAATTCTCATTGCTCTTCTAATCGCGTCCATTTCTGTTGTCTCTAATTTCCTTTTATTCCTTTCAGTGAGTCGCCATGTTTCTCATCCAGCATATTACTCTATATATGCTTTTAACTAGTGTCTCGTATATATTATATTTCCTGATTTTTGTAATTTCAGTGCTCCATAGAATGCCATTTATGCATCTGATAACTCTTCGTGCCTGTATTACTCTCTGTTTATTTCTCTATCGTCCGTTCCATCTCCTGTAAATATCGATCCCAGGTACCTGTAATCTTCACATGCCCTAATTTCCATATTATTGTCTAAAATAAGATTTTCTGTATTAGCTCCAATTGGAAGGTATTTTGTTTTTTCTGTATTTACTGTGAGACCCCATTTAGCATATTCTTCAATTATTTTCCGCACCATATATTCCATGTCATCTTTGTCGTTTGCAATTATGGCCTGGTCGTCTGCAAATTGCAAGGTGTATAGGCATATGTCATTTAGTTCTATACCCATTCCGTTACATTTTCTTTTCCATAGATGTAAGGCCTTGGCAATATAAATTTTAAATAGTGTTGGGGATATACAGCAACCCTGTCGGAGCCGTTTAGTGATAGAAATTTCCTCTGAGAGACCGTTGACCGTTTTTATTTGTGATTTTCCTCCATGGTAAAGATTCTGTACAGCTTTTATCAGAGCTGCGTTAATTCTTGATTCGTGCAATACTTCCCATAATTTTATTATTGGCACTGTATCATATGCTTTTTGTAGATCGATGAATGTTATATGAACTTCCTGGTTCATTGCAGATTTCTTCTCGATGATCTGTTTCAATGCAAAGATATTATCTGTACATGATCTTCCGCTTCTGAAACCATTCTGCTCTTTTTCTTCGTAGCTGGAGTATTCCTCTTCAATTAAGTTCCTCAGTATCCTTCCATAGAGGCGACTCATAGTGCTGGTGACCGAAATTCCCCTGTAGTTATTGGGATCCTTCCTTGAGCCCTTTTTATATATAGAGGAAATATATGCTTTTTTCCACTGTTCAGGTACTGGATGACCATTTAAGCACTGGTTAACTATGTTTGTTAACATTCTAAACAGTTTTTTGCTTCCAGATTCCAGATTTTATGAAGGGGCTTCCAGATTTTATGAGTTCCGCATATACTCCCTCTTGGCCACATGCTCTTCCATTCTTTAAAGACATTATAACGGTCTTTATTTTGTTGATATCCACGTAGATTTCCTCTTCTTCAATATTTATTTCTGGCTGTGGCGGTTCTTGATACTCAGGTCTGTTCTCTGACAACAATTTGGAATAATATTTCACCCATTCTGTGATGGTTATTATTTCTATAGGGGCTGACTCGTGTTTTTCAGTTGTTGTTGTTTTTTGTCTTACGGCTATTATTCCGTTTATAATTTTCCAGATTTCCATTCTTAAGTTTTTCCTTTCCAAGTCCCAAAAATGATTTAATTTTTCTCTAAAACGGTATAGAAATTTGAAAAAATTATAAACGGGATTAACCATTCTAGAACAAGCAACTTTTTATGAAAAATTCATGTTCTCTCAAAAGGTCGATAATAAAAAAATCCTCCTGGAAAAACAATCTGGGGCATACTGTATTATAATCGAGATAACCCTTATTTGCAACCAAAATGGAACTATTTATACAATACTCTTTATGTTATAGATACCAAGTTAGGCTACCTCCATACCTGACATGCACCCAATGTGTCATGCGTTGGGTGTACTATACTGGCAACCAATGGGGTGTTTGCGATAATGGCACACATGCAGTGGGTTGTGGCAAATCGGAAACTTTTATTAATTGTGCTGATGTAGCTGTCACAACTAATGCAGGAGGTAACAGTAATAAATACATATCCTTTTTTCCATAGCAACTGTTAAAATTGCCTTATACAGGGTGGCCCATCGAAAACGTTCCGCAAGGCATAACGGCCAGGATATTTTTTTTTTCAGAAAATCCAAAAAGCACGTCAATTTTGTTTGGGAGGGGGACAACTTTTGCCCCAAAAATGATTGCAAAATCTTCAACCCTCTAAGCGGGGGTGTCAACCCCCAACTTTTTTCAAAGGGGAAGGGGGGTCAAGTGATACCGCAGTGAAAATGGCTTTTTATTCTCTATACTTTCCCGCTTCGCTTTTGAAAATCGGTCGAGTCATTGAGAAAATATGAAGCATTGAAATTTTAAAAGTTTATTTAAGCATTTATCAGAGTAAATGATAATTAAGGATAAATTCGACCAATTTGCTGTTTTTTCTTATTATTTCTAGATGTTTACGCATTTTTTCACTTGCCACACTTGTTCTGTGACTTGAGCGTTGAAGTTCTTCTCAATATCGTTCATTCAATTCAACCCGATCTTAGTGGGACACCCGGTACATATGGGTTATCACTGGAATATTTTTTGAAAAAAAAACTGTGTGCTACTGATTTTTTTCACTTCATTCTGGTGAATCTGGCGACACATTTTTAGTCCTATAATAAAATACGTAACACTTATAGCACAGAATATCTAGCTACGCAAATAGCGTAGCTAGATATTCTGTGCTTATAGTATCTTACCTTCAAAATATTTCATTCGAATCGCTAAAAGCACTTGGAAGAAAATTATAATAATACGACAAAAATTAAGGCTTTCACCCCCTGTAGCTACGAAACGTATGTTGATATTAAAAAATAAATCTTATTTTTACGTGAGGAATCTCCCCACGAGAGATAGCCCATATTTTTGGAAACACCCTGTATAAACAAAATGTTTCAGGTGCCATACCTCCACTGTTTATCAACCAAGACAACCCCTATTTGCTCTACTACCAGGATCTGCGCTATTCGGCCCCCTATAATGTATTCCCTCTGGTGATAAGGGAACAAGTTTGTGTTCCCAAGAAATTATACAGGATGATCCCCGGAGTAGACGAATGGTGTCAAAAGAATTGCTTGAGATATCCCCCCAATTGTCCTACTGAAATTTGTGAATGCCCGTAAGCATTTTTATTTTATCATATTATTTACTTTCATATAATTCTTCTTGACAAAATGGTGAAGGAAAAATAATAAAATCATATTTTTATATTTTTAATATTACTGTTAGATGTCTACTAATTGTTTATTAAAGTAATGTTTATTTTTATTTAGAACAACTTGTGAAGCCGTGGGTGATTTTGAGGGTGAAACAGGTGCTGACGTATACTGTATGGACCAATGTTTAGTCTATCCCGCTACAGGGTGTCCTAGAAAACAGTGCTCTTGTCACGAAGAAAAACCTCTAGATAATTTAGTTTTCTGAGACAATCTTATTATCTGTGTACTTAAAAATATACTTTTTATATGACAAAAAATAGAAATAAAATATTTTTATTATATTGTTGTATTTTCTTATACAATATTTTTTTATATAGTTTTTTACGTAAGAATCTGTAAAATCTGGTAGTTTTGAGAAAAAATATTTTAAACGAAATAAAAGTCAAGTAAAGTAATAATTTTTTATTTACATATATTTTTTCTGGCTTTGTATATTTATCAGACTTTTTACATAACAATTATTGTGATGAAAATTCATAGAAAAAGATAAATTTACAAACTTAAATCTACTAAAAAAGTTAAAATTAATAAACAAAACAAATAGAAAATAAATTTAAGTTGTTTTAATACAGAGTAAAGGAATTCTTTTAACAGTGTTTCGACTGGTATTTTCATTATTTTTTAACAAATTTAGAGTTATTACATTACAATTAGACAAAGAAAAGTATAAAGAATATAGAAATGAATGATAAAAAAAATGAGAAAGTATCCTAATAAATATACTAGTAGCATAAAATATGTCTTAAAAATAATTATTTAAATCTAATTTACAATTTATACAAATAAAGTTGTCTTAAAATGTTGCTTAAAATTCAATAATTTCTAAAATATAAATTTTATAATAGATTTTGTAAAAAAATTAAAGCTTTAGACAAAAATATTGATTATGTTATGAATGCAGATCTGAGAATTGAACTTTTATTGTGAAGTATATGTAACCCATAATACACAGAGCCCTAATAATATATTATCCTATCCAGAATGAATGAATATTAGGACTATGTGTAACATTAACTCCATATACAGGATGTTATTTAAGTATGTAGGCCAAATTTCTAGGGGTAATTTTTTTCGTCTTAATATGACTCAAAGAATTATCTCCTGAAGTTTGGCTATGCACTAAAATAATACCCTATGTACGCTCAGCTCACTAATATGCCTCATTATGAATCATAAAAGACATATGTCTTCACTGGTTAGAATGAGTATATCATAGACTAAAACTAACTACACACTTTGTGTGTTTTTTACAAAAAATCTTCAGGTTTTTAGTTCTTCACTTACTGGTCATCACAGATATTTTTAATTTTGAAATCCTCATTTCATGGTCATTGTCATTGTTTTTGTATATAAATATACAAGCAATAACGTATAAACAAATTGAAACCTGACAATTTTACATTATTATTAATAGTTATTCATAATTTTTTAGTCTATGATACACATTTCGCTATAAGTTTTTATACAAGTATTCGTTTATTTTTCTTCTCTTAATTTTATTTAGTCCTTTTTCTATTTCCCACTGTAGTGACTCCCTATGTGTGATGGAGGCCCCCTATTTTTATACCCCCTACTGCCAGGTCTTGAGTGAACGATGGCATAGTGATCACTGTGTGATGAAATCGATCTTGCTGAATTTAGTGTTGAACCACCTGAGGTATAGCCCTTAGGGTTTTGAGGGGCTCCATTCAAGGAATACCTTGGAAAAAAAAATTAAATTGTTAGTAATATCTTCAGACAAATAAAAGGTATCAAAGATTATATGTATAATTTATGATCTTATATGTTCTTAAAAAAGTTGATTGACTAGATTATTAATAACCTACCTTGATCCATACTGGCTACCATGCCAACTCCTGTAAGGATCATAGTCTTCAATGATACTAGGCTCTTTCTCTATAATCTCTGTCCTGGCACAGGCACAGGTCATGGCAGAACAGAGGAAAATGTTGATGATGAGCATAATGAGGAACAGGATTCCAAAAGCTACGCAGAGCCACAGTAACCAACTGGGATGGACACCAGTTGAGTCTTCGCAGAGTTCTTGAATCAAAGGAGCTTCACCTAGAGAAAAAAATGGTGTAGTAATAGGCAATATTATCATGGAATTAGTTTATTAAGGGGGATACTTACTGGGATCAAGAACAAACACAGTATTGGCAGCTAAAAGGACACCTTCTTCGTTATTTAATGACAAGGAATTGGAGACATCTCCTGAGCAGGATGGTTGTAGGCAAGCTCCTTTGCATAATGCTACATCACACTAAAACAGAACAGGCAGAGTTAGGCAACGTCGAGAATGTCATGTCGACAATTGAATTGTTGACACGTCAGCTAAGTCGTAGTATGGGACAGTGCCTTCTATAAAAGATGAGCCTACGGGCGGACTTTTGTTTACTTCATCAGCTGTACATACTTAGATATTGGGTTAGATTCTGTATTCATATTTGGTCGGTTGATTTTTGGTATTATTTGTTATTGTAGTGCAAAAAACTGATTATTTTGGTGTTACCTACCAGATATATGGTCACTATGATGGTCACTCTGTTTCTCATAAAAAAACACGAAATATTACACGTTATGTTAAGTGCTTTAACCTAAAAGTGCCCATAAATTTTTTATTTATCGTGATTTTTGTGGGTGTTTTTTAAGACTCTAACAATTCATCAATAAAGCTTAAGTGGAGTGTGTTTTTGGTGCTATGCCTCATCTTTGTTGTGTTCCTGGTGGAAAGGATAGTTATACTAGGCAGCCTCAAGTATCCGGAAGAGCAAGAAAAGTGGGTACGAGTTATAAATTAAGAGAATTCTATTGAAACTATCTTTAATAAATTTAAAAATAATATTCTCCCATGATGGTATTAATGAAAACTGGACAATTATGTTTATTTTATTCATATTGTGGAATCTCCACTCCAAGTGTTGTTGGTTCAGCTTCGATAGATTCAAACACGTAAGTAGGTATTATGATCTAGGGAAAAATAAAGAATATGTGTATTAAAGATCATGAAAAAGATTATTATTTTGAGTTCAAAATTAAACAAATATTTTTGTAAAGACAAGAATGATAAAGTTTAAAAGAAGAATGTGTTTTTGTTTGATAATACCGTATGATCGAGAAAAAACGGCGTCCAGTTGGCTTGGAAATAACGATCGATGACATTTCCCATTATAATTTCACATATAAAATGACAACGATCTTCATTTCATAGCCATCGCTGACGCCGTTTTTATTCGATCATACGGTATGTATGTAAAGCATAACATATATTTGTTCAGTAATTTTTACTGAAGAGTGTTGATTATTTATAATACCAAATTAATATCAAATATTTAAGTGATGGCTGAATACAATATGAATAAAATAACAATAAAATTGGTATATTTGCAATACAAAATTTAAGAATAAAGGTTTTAAGAATAAAGGTGTTACTAAAGATCCTAAGAAATTCATATTTCTTTGTTTTAATTGGTCTAATGTTATTTACATTTTATGTAAGAATTATACCGTATCATCGAAAAAAATCGGCGTCTAGTTGGCTTGGAAATGAACATCGATGACATTCCCTAAATAATTGTACACATAAAATAATTAACTAGAATTTTACAATCTTGGAAAATTTGATATTCTTGAACCTTGTTTCTAAATATTCTAAATTTTTTGATTTTCTTGGGATTTAGGTTTGGGAAAAACGCTGATTAAGTTTTCATTTGGTTTCTCATTATTTTTATTTGGTTTAAAAAAAACGTTTTGGCTAACATTATAGCCTTCATCAGTGTTGTGTCATATGAAAAAAATAGTGTCGAATATAATCCAAAAAATTACATATAAAATATTCACACCACGCACCACATAATGTTTACTGCGTACTCCATAGTCAATGTAGATAGTTTTATTGTTAAGAATAATAATTTTAAAAAATATGTGGTCATCTTTTGATAAGTTTATATTAGTTTATTAATTACAGTAAACATTATGTGGTGTGAATATTTTATATTGAATTTTTTGGATTATATTCGACGCTATTTTTTTCATATGACACAACACTGATGAAGGCTATAGTTAGTCGAAACGTTTTTTTTAAACCAAATAAAAATAATGAAAACTCCAATGAAAACTTAAATCAGCGTTTTTCCCAAACCTAAAAATCCCAAGAAAATCAAAAATTTTAGAATAAGTTTACATATAAAATGTCAGCGATCTTCATTTCATAGCTATCGCTGACGCCTTTTTTTAGATGATATTGTACTATTTGTAAACTAATAAATTTATATATTATATAAATTTTCGAACATTGATACTTGCAAAATATACAAATAAATTTTGCGAATGCAAATAATAATACATCACTATTAAAAGATATTGAATGTTTTTTGTTAAATTAGATCGATTTTCAAACCCCAAAATTTAAAATATATTTACATTTTACCCAATATCTTATGTACCTATACATTATTTGTATATTGTAAAACATTTGCTGCATTTGTATGGTTCATAGTTTATTTGCCAAAGTATTTATCACTATAAACAGGTATATATGTTGTAGTTATTAACTGTATATTATGTAAACTATATCATTTTTAAAATACAAACCAAAAATCTGTGGAATAATTATGTTTTCCATGTATTCTACAACATATTTTTTATTAATCCGTAGTATCTAACTAGCGTGACGTCATAAATCTCGCCCCAAGGCTGTTCTATTAGAGACGGCATTGTATGGGGGTACTTGAGTCAGACAGCAGACTTTTACTGATTTTGCTGTCTGTTTTTACTGTTTACTGCTTACTTTTGACGTTTTTTTATTGTTTTTACTGTTTCTTTTGTGTTTTTATGTCGTCAGCTTTTACACCTCTTCAAATAGAGAGCCAAAACAGTAAAACATCAAAAATAGCAAAAGAAACAGTAAATCAGACGTCAAATGTATGAAACAGGCAATAAAAACAGTAAAACAAACGGCTAAATCAGTTAAAGTTTGCTGTTTGGCTCAAGTGCCCCCATATTCACTCTGGTAATAATATTTTCTCTATTTTACCTGAAAGTTTACTTCTGATCCTTCTGGAAACTTGAACATTGATCTTATGGGTGCATCAGCTATACCTTTGGCTTCATCGTAGGTGAAAGTTCCTATTATACCTCCCTTGACAGGACAGCCTCTGTCATCTATGATTGGAACGCTGTTGTTGACTCTGCTGAAGGCAAAACAGTTTTTAACCCTGAAGCCATACGAACTATCTGGTTTGGAAACTTGAATTCTGTGGATAAAAATACATAATTAATAAAAGTATAATTCTAAGTCACAAACAGATATACAGAGTGACAAAAAAAGAAGAACATTATTATTAAATTATAATTATACAAAAATTATAGGTTTTTCAACTTAACAACTATTAGTACCTTAAGGTATAGGGATTGCTGAGTACTGCCTTGTTCACCACTCTGCTTCCATCAAGTATTTGCAAAGACACTGGCGAAGATTGGTTTTTGAATCCAGCCTTTCCACAAGTGATGACGTAGAACTTGTCGTCGGCCAGTTCTAGTGTTTTATGGATTCGTATCGCTATAGGAACTGATTTTTCTTGAGTTTTCTAAAATAAAATACAAAATATGTAAACATAGAACAATAAATAGATATTGATTATGTTATAAAAAGATAATTAAACTTAAGATTTAATAAAATACTGTTATTTGTTCTTTTTTAATCTATAGAAATTTGTTTTGTTTAAGTCTGTCTTCTAAAACACTACATATTTTCAAAATTTTTCTGTAGTACCTTCTAAAATTCTGTACCTTCCTGTATTTAGGTACCTCATTCCTCCTTATCAGCCAAAACTAGAATTCTGACAAAGGCTTATTAGGTACGTTGAACTAACAAATCTAATAAAACATTTTGCAACACTTCATGTACGTATTATCTAAATTCTGACCTTTTTATAGTAATGGTACCCAAGTACAACTTTCTCTAGTGTTATTTATACCTGGGTCTGGTTTAAATACATTTAAATAAAATAGTTATATAAAAAAACTGCTAACTACAAGCCGGTAAATTTTAGTTGTTTAGATAGTAAATTATTTTTTCATGCTTGACTGAAACATTTGATTAAATTTTACTTGTATTAAATGAGTTGTTAACTACAAATTCGTCGTTTTTAATTATTAATACAATTAATTTTATTTCAAATCAATAAAAATACGGTAGTACTACCAACTTAAATTTATTTCCGGAAAAAACAGCTGTACGCCATTTTGGTACATTCTTCCTCTATGTCCAAGTTAGTACCTACGCCTAAGAATGCAGATTACCATGTTTTATAGGCTATATATCTAAATTCGATAAAGGAACTACTTAGACAAACAATACATGTACTCCTACGTAAGTACTTAGTAATGCGCATACTATTCTAAATGCAAATTTTTAAAACTCAAAAAAAGATTTTTTGTTATTCTTTATAAACAAAGAGTTATACTAATTTAATCTCTCCAGCACGAACATGGTTTGTATATGGAGAGATTTCCGCAATTGATAGATAATTAAATAGATTTATCACTTTTATATACGTCAGTATACAAAGAAAATCGAAACTATGAAACTATGATCCCTTCCCCGACACAAACGGTACATTCATTGTGAGACAGGAAATTGTAGAGAGAAACAAGCCCTATAACATAGGATACAACATTTTAATGAACAGTGCTTTCCATAAAATCAGTAAAATGAAAAATATACGAAATAATATACATGTACTGATTTCTATCGAAAATCGACAACTATGAAACTATGAACCCTTCCTGGACACAAACGGTACATTGTGAGACAGGAAATTGTAGAGAGAAACAAGCCCTATAACATAGGATACAACATTTTAATGAACAGTTCTTTCCATAAAATCAATAAAATGAAAAATATACGAAATAATATACATGTACTGATTTCTTTCGAAAATCGACAACTATGAAACTATGATCTCTTCCCTGACTCAAACGGTACATTGTGAGGCAGGAAATTGTAGAGAGAAACAAGTCCTATAACATAGGATACAAAATTTTAATGAAAAGTGCTTTCCATAAAATCAATAAAATGAAAAATATACGAAATACTATACAGTACATCTGCTGGATCTGTGTCTATGAAAGGAATGCGGACAAAAAACATTTAGATAAACAGCAACATATTTTATACGTCGACTTGACGAGTACGTCACCGCAAATCGCTCCGCCCACTCATTTTATTGGCTACTTGCAAATTTGTCGAATTTTTATTGATGAGATGCGTCGTCTAATTTTTTTACGAAAAGCATCGAGAGAATATCGTTTCCGCTCTCACGGATACCCCGTAGCTATAGAACGGACAGACGTACCGTAACTAAAAAAATATGAACGTAACCATGGCTATCTGTGATTAATTTCCATTCTACATGACGACATTTGTAATATTTGTTTTGCACAGAATTCGTTGATTGGTCAAAACATTTTTTTGCCATGCTTACATGAACAAAATCTGAATTATTTTCGAACAAATAATTAGATGTGTGGCGAAATTTTATGACTTGGGTTTACTATTTTTCTAAGTGCCTCGAAAACAGTTAAAAAAAGCCTAAAATGGGAATATCTACACCGTCCAAGTCACCGATTTTGAAAAAACTACTGTTATTTACTAGACTAGAAAGCGTCTTTTCTAAAATCGTTCATAAACAAGCGTCCGCAAAATCGATTTTAATACAAAAATAAAGCATTATAGATTTATTATTTTTGATTTCTAAAAGTACATAAAATTTCGTTCAAACCTTGAAGTTCTCAAAATATTATGACAAGGTTTAATGTTTTTCAGTCTTGAAAATAATTAAAAATGCAGACATATAAAATAAATAATAACACACCCGTGAGTTTTTGAAGTTATAACAAACTAGTGTGCTATAACTTGTTATAACAAAGCCACACCATTTTATAGAAATTATTAAACTTTATTTATAAATTACTAATTCAATTATTTATTTAAATTAACATTAAATGAAAATCCTTTTTTTATAGATTTATTTTGTACATAATTTATTTGGTTTTTTTACATATTTTGAAATTTTTTAAAGAATCATACAGGGTGTTCCAAGAAGTTGGGTAATTTCTTAACCACGATTCTGCTTAAACTGCTTGACGTAAAGAGCTTATTTTTGGCAAACGGATTTTTCGAAAGTCAAATTCCAACGAGATGAAACTACCCCTCAAATATTACCAAGTTATATAATAATATCGCCATATTGTTTTTTCTCATGCTGACATAAATGTGAGAACATTTTATCCAGTTTGTATGTTAATGGAAATTCTTGCTTTGCTTTATCATCACCAATTACAAATGATTGATTCGACGCGAACGAAGTCGCTGGTACACGCTAGTAACATATAGGTCCCTTGAGACGTGCATATTGAAACACCCTGTATAAACTCTTTGAGATTTTTGCACCTTGTCCTAATATTTTAAAAAATAAATAAAGAAAGAAGAATAAGAATTTCGTACAGTACAAAAGGACATATTGAGAATAAATGCAATAAGAAAAATAAATCCTTGAGGTAAAGTACTTAAACGTTTTGTTTCTTTCGTGTATGCGAGGAAACAATGAGACCAAAACCATAAATCAGTACCATATGGTTACAATTAAAGAAGATACAGGACAGGTATAGGCATATATTACGTGCGGGGACACCCAACAATTACAGTACCACAAGAATACCATACTATATCCAGCGACATGGTCATATATAATATCAAACTGTCAATGGGTACAGTGTATTACACAATTTTTCTTTCTCTGAAGATGATAAATGTATGTTTCAGAAGAAAGAAGATTTTAGTATGCTTTTCAGTGACATGTGGTTCAATATTTTGTAGTTGCATGACCAAAAAATTATCTATTTTATGGAAAAAAGCTAAAAACCTAGTCATAGGATACAACATTTTAATGAACAGTGCTTTCCATAAAATCAATAAAATGAAAAATATACGAAATAATATACATGTTCTGATTTCTTTCGAAAATCGACATCTATGAAACTATGATCCCTTCACTGACACAAACGTAGACAAAGATAAGACAGTTTTTTAGAAGAAATTTAACAGTTGATTTGAAAACAATATTTTTATAAAAAAAAACTATAAAATCTTTAATGTACCTACATTTTTAATGAACCAAAATAATGCTGGGTCCAGACCGAGCAGACAAAATAACGACAAGACAGAAACATTTATTAAAAAATTATCTATTTTATGGAAAAAAGCTAAAAACCTAGTCTACTAAAATTTATTACCTTTGTTGTACCTATATAACACGTTGGGAATTCAAAATATACAGAGTGGTCCGAACTGAATTCCGGAAACTTCGGCAGCATATTTTACTGATAAAAATAAGTAAAAAAGTTCATATAAATGTATGTTCTAAAATGCTTAGTTTCGGAGGTACAGGGTGTAGAAGTTTCATTTTAATTTCGATTTTTTACAAATAATTTCTGAAGCAACGTCAATATTTAGATGAAAATAGGTGTCTGGGAGTTTTTTGACATGAGAAATTTGATTTTGATTTCAATATGACTCCTATTTGTTGGGGGCGCCACCTACATGTGTTTTAACCTTTGAATAAGAAGACTAAGGAAGGAGCATATCAAAAATCTTAGGTACACCGCGATGGGCCTCAAATATGGCCGACTTAAATTCCGGTTTATCAGTGTCGTTCTAATTTTATTTAAAAAATGAAAAACTATGATGTAGGGTAGAGGTGGGGTAGACTCAATAATTTGTTGTTTTATTTTACGTTGTGAATAAATGTTGGTAGTTATTAAAATTGCTATAAAAATATATAATTCTAATAAAAATAGATAAGTTATAATAAGTATTTATTAACACAAACATCCGATACGCTACTGAAGCAGGTAAGTCAAATTAACGTATCTAAATTCTTTGACATCTAATCTTTGACAAGTAATAATTAAAAGCTAAAAATGCAAGAAAAATATATAATTTAGTTAATTTAAGTGAATTTCATAAATGATCGGTTTACTACACGTATGTATATTATATAGTCACTTACTAGCGAAAAGTTGTTCCATTATTTCACTCAATTTTTGCCGAGATCTACCGCACGCTACACAACCAACTATTTTAGAGTCTTTTTCGATAAATCGCGATAGTGTCACTGTTAATTTAAGTTCTGCCACAATTTCCATCTAGATTTACTACCTTTATACAACTATCAGTAGTAGAATAAATAATAAATAACATAAAATAAGCTCCGTAAAGACTGACAAATCCACAAAATTTCAAATCAAATTCAAATGTGTCAAATGAATCGTCAAACAGAACTGTCAAGGATCCCCACCCTAGAGAGCTTTTATGGTGGCTTTTCCGCCCACCATGCATGAATACATGGATAGCATTATGCTCCTTCCTTAGTCTTCTTATTCAAAGGTTTTAACCAAAGGTTTTAATTGTTTCGAAGAGTAATAACATTTTGTCCGTACCTTTATAGAATTACTGAGTAAAAAAAATATACATTTCCGTAATTTTTTACGTAAAAAATGTTTCTTGGTAAAAATCGCTACGAGCAACCGATCTCAAGATATTTACAATAGAAATAGTCAATACATGTCATTATTGACTAAAAATAAAGATGTTGAGTAGATAGTTATTTGACTGAAATGAAAATTTGGGAAAAAATGATGATAAAACAGTTTCTGTTGAACTTTTGGCACAAAAACATTTCAAATTTATGATTTTAGTCTAATAACTAATTAGACAACATGTTTAATTTATGTCAATGATGACAGGTATCGGTAATTTCGATTCCAAATATCTCGAGAACCATTACTCGTAGCGATTTTTACCAAGAGACCTTTTTTACGTGAAAAACGTCGTAAATGAATATTTTTTAACTAGCTAGTTTTATACAGGTACGGAAGGAAAGTTATTATTCTTCAAACCATTTAAAAAATTCGTAGGTGGTGCCCTCTACAAGTAGGAGCCATATTGACATCGAAATCAATTTTCTCATGTCAAAAATCTCCCAGACACCAATTTTCATCCAAATATTGACGTTACTACACCCTGTATCTCCGAAACTAAGCATTTTAGGACATACATTTATATGAACTTTTTTACTTATTTTTATCAGTAAAATATGTTGCCGAAGTTTTCGGAATACAGTTCGGGCCACCCTGTATAGTTCATATTAATATCATCAAATCCTAGGACTTACGTTATTGGTAATCAATCCACAGTATCCAGCTGAACCGGGGGGTGCTAGAAGACTTATGGTGAGGGTAACAGTTTTACCACCATCACCCACAGCCATACAAGATGGCGTCCGGTAATCTCTTGCGTGGATGGTACCGTAGAAGGAGTTGTTGAAGTTCACTTTGATGTTCATCGTATGATCTGCCTTGCATGTAGCTGAGACCTGGGGGTTGAACTCTGCATCTTGTAGTTGACAGTGTATCTGCAAAGAGAACATTATTTAATATACAGGGTGTTTCAAAACAAATGCGAAAAACTTTAGGGGGTGATTTCTTGTTCAAAATAAAGGGTAGTTTGCTTTATAAACGTTGGGTCAAAAGTCAACCATTAGGGAGATATCGCGGTACAAAGATGGCGGAAAAATAATGTTTTTATTTTTTATCTTGAAAACGAAAAGAGATAGACTAATGAAATTTTATGGAAGCATTACTGTTATGAAAACACACTTTCTGGTATTTTTTTCATTTTTTTTAAAATGAGCGGAAGGGGTTGAAATAAACTGCCCCTATCATCTTTCAATGAAATTTAAAGAAAAATATTATCAAACACATACAAAAAAATTAATTTGGGTAATTTAGTTTGTTTAGAAACTTTTTTATCTCTTGTATTTTTTTGATAAAACTCACTGATTTGAAATTAAAAAATAAAATGTAAAGCATTACATGTCAGGACAAAAAACATTTTTAGATTAAGAATCTAGTGATAATAACGATAATAATAATCATCTAGATAATAACGTATTGCAGTAGAGTAATGTCAAATAAAATAATATTAGGAACATCCTAAAAAGTAACAGCGGCCGACAAGATTTTTTCCTAAAAAAATTACAGCAGCCCACTAGATTCTTGATCAGAAAATGTTTTTTGTCCTGACATGTAATGCTTTACATTTTATTTTTTAATTTCAAATCGGTGAGTTTTATCAAAAAAATACAAGAGATAAAAAAGTTTCTAAACAAACTAAATTACCCAAATTAATTTTTTTGTATGTGTTTGATAATATTTTTCTTTAAATTTCATTGAAAGATGATAGGGGCAGTTTATTTCAACCCCTTCCGCTCATTTTAAAAAAAATGAAAAAAATACCAGAAAGTGTGTTTTCATAACAGTAATGCTTCCATAAAATTTCATTAGTCTATCTCTTTCCGTTTTCAAGATAAAAAATAAAAACATTATTTTTCCGCCATCTTTGTACCGCGATATCTCCCTAATGGTGGACTTTTGATCCAACGTTTATGAAGCAAACTACACTTTATTTTGAACAAGGGATCACCCCCTGAAGTTTCTCGCATTTGTTTTGAAACACCCTGTATATCGTTTAAATTTTAAGAAAAATTTAGAGACGAAAAGAGAGAAAAAAAAAAGAAAAAAACCTTCCTATTAAAATTAAGAGCTCATACTTGGAGAGAGTTTTTTTTCAGAGTATAGAGTGAAAAAAAATAGTTGATTTTTTTAGCCCACCCTAATGTCCACGGAATTTTGCAAAACCTTGTATACATCAATAATTATCGTATTCTTATTAATAAAATACCATCGAGCTACCTATACCCGGTACTTAGTAGGACGTAGCACACGCAATAAAACCGTAGGTCGTACGTTCCTCAGTGCTACGTCCCACCAACAGTACTTAACCTCGAAAAATACCGCTTAAGAACAATTAATATACTTGAGAGGCTTGCATATTATCAGCGAGCTCGCGCAAGCATAATAAAAATTATATGTAGGTCGTACCGTCCAGCCGAACCCTTTAGTTAAATTAACAGTACCATCGATGGTTCGTACGCCGGCCAACCATAAATAAAAATGAGCCTCGGCGGTACGGTAAAATTCTTCTGCGCGCCACGAATTCTCAATGAACCGTGAACAACATTTTAGTAATGACCGATATAAGTACCATACTTTGTTATTAGAGTTTTATTTTTTAGGTTGTTTATGTTGACCCTTAAATTTTCATGCTGAGTGATTCCGTTCTTAGTGTGGTTTTGATATGTCTTGTACTATTTGTCCTTACTGGTCGTACCATAGACATTTACAGTGGTGGCCAAAAGTATGGAAACTTCTTTAATTTGTCATTTATGCTGAGAAATTAAAATATGAAATAAAACGACTTATATAATCGTGACCTACAAATAATTTCCTACAAAACCTAATACATTTAAATAAAAAATTACAGCTATCAAAAAATATACAAAAAATTATGAATATTTTCTTGGTCAAAAGTATGGAAACTTAAGAAGAATGTTTATTAAAATTCAAGATAATATAAAAATTACTAATATTTAGTGGAATATCCCTTTGAATTCATTACTTCTCTACATCTTCGTGGCATCGAATCGATCAATCTCGTACAATCTTTACTGGAAATGGCCGCCCATTCAGTTTTTAGCACTTCCCATAATTCATTTTTATTTGAAATAGAATGGCTTCGAATTTTGCTATCCAAATGGTCCCATAAATTTTCTATGGGGTTAAGATCCGGAGACTGTGAGGGCCAATCCATTAGTGGAACATTATGTTCATTTAACCAATTTTGAACAAACCGAGATTTGTGCTTGGGATCATTGTCTTGCTGGAACAACCATCTGAGTGGCATTTCTTCATCAGCATGAGGCAGCATATTATTCTCCAATATGTCTTTGTACAAAAAAACGGTCCATTATCCCATCAATTTTAACAAGAGGACCAACACCTGAGCGAGAAAAACACCCCCATACCATTATACTCCCACCCCCATGTTTTACTGTGGGCATCTGGTACTTATGGCTGTACCGTGTACCTTTTGGTCTTCGGACATAACGTCTCCCGTCACTACCAAACAGTTGAAACTTGCTTTCGTCGCTAAACAGTACAGTATTCCATTTCTGGTAAGACCAGGTGAGATGATCTTGAGCAAATTTAAAGCGGGCCATCCTATTTTTCTTTGATATTAGTGGTTTCTTCACCGCAACTCTTCCAAAAAGTCCCATGTCATCCAACCTTCTTCTCATCGTGCGTGCAGACACCGATATTCCCCTTTCACCCATTTCTCGAGAAATGTCTGTGGATGTTTTTCTTGGATCTCCCATTGATATTCTCTTCATTACTTTCATTGTCCTGTTGCACAACTTTCTTGGTCTTCCTGACTTAAAGGCTGTTGAAACGTTCCCTGTTTTATTAAATTTACGAATTGTTTTCGAAACGGTACCTTTTAAAATGTTTAAATTTTTACTTATTTGAATTTGTTTATAACAGCTCTTGTATAATTCAACTATTTTATTTTTTAAATCCGTAGAGAAATATTTAGACTTGGGCATGATGTTTATATTTATCTGAAGCAAATCGTACCGTTTATCAGCTTAAACTAAATAATTTTAATGTATTTATTTATGGTTTCCATACTTTTGACCACAAGAAATCTATTGTTGTCCTACAAAAACTGCTAAACAGATTTTTTTCGCTGTGTAATTCTTGGAATACTTTTATTTGCTGATAAGCTGTTCATTTATATTCCTGAGAGTTTAAGCATAGCAATATTTTCTGTGATATTTTAAAAAGTAAAAAGTTTCCATACTTTTGGCCACCACTGTATATAATATTACTAGCGTGTACCAGCGACTTCGTTCGCGTCGAATTAATCATTTGTAATAGTGATGATAAAGCAAAGCAAGAATTTCCATTAACATACAAACTGGATAAAATTTTCTCACATTTATGTCAGCATGAGAAAAAAAAATATGGCGATATTATTATACAACTTGGTAATATTTGAGGGGTAGTTTCATCTCGTTGGAATTTGACTTTCAAAAAATCCGTTTGGCAAAAATAAGCTTTTTACGTCAAGCAGTTTAAGCAGAATCGTGGTTAAGAAATTACCCAACTTTTTGGAACACCCTGTTGATTTTTTAAAAAATTTCAAAATATGTAAAAAAACCAAATAAATTATGCTTGTCCAAGCGTTTTCCCGAAAAACTAACCGTTTTTTAAATAACAAATATTGTAATATTTGAGGGGCGTTTTCACCCTCTTGGAATTTGAGATTCGAGAAACCCCTCCTTATCGAACCTCTACACCCCATAGTCAATCCGTTTGCCAAAAATCAGCTTTAAACGTCAAGCAGTTTAAGCAGGATCGTGATTAATCAATGACCAGATTTTTCGAAACACCCTGTATACATTTTTAAAAAATCTTAAAATATGTAAAAAAACAAAATAAAATATACGTGTTTAAGCGTTTTTTCGGAAACCTGACCGGTTTTTAAATAAAAAATATTGTAATATTTGAGGGGTGGTTTCACCCTCTTGGAACTGGAATTTCGAAAAATCCCTTTCTTATCTAATCTTTACGCCCTAGAATCAACCTGTATGCCAAAATTGAGCTTCTTACGTTGAGTGGTTTGAGCAGGATCGTGATTAATCAGTATGTCAGTCGATTTTATATATTAGTATAGAGTTCAGAAATCTGCCTAGGCTTATTATACCCCTTAAAGGTCTACGAGTATTGTGTCCCCCTTTCTTGAGTTATAACTCATCTTACAGTCTCAGGGCTTTAACAAAAGCCAGTATCTGAGACGGTTTTACAGAAGTTAGTTCTCCATAGTGATGCAGATGCATGCCAGTCTCTGCATTTTGCACAGGTTTTACGTTGCTGTAAGTTGTTCTAGTTTCATAGAATATTACTGATGAGCTAATGCAAGGACAAAGTCTACCAAGTCTACCAAGTAAGAAGTAGTAGGTCTACAAGGTCTACAAAGTAATAAGTAGTCTTGCTCCTGGTCTTGCAAATTCGAGTCTTGGATTTAGTCTTGCAATTAGTCGTGCACTTTTTAATAGATTGTTATTAGAGGCTCTTCATTCGCGAAAAAACGATCATAGTACTCTATAGTACTGTTCGTTTTTGCAAATGTAAGTGTGGAATGGTGCTACATTTTTGTTTAATTTAGCAATTTAAAAAAAGCGCCAATTATTCTCAGAGACCTGGTTTATAAATCCAAAAGAAGCGAAAAGAGACTGTGAGTCCAAACCAAACCGAAACTTTGAGTCTTTTTGCTTCTTTTGGATTTAATTTAGCAAGTTATGACAAGAACTTTCTCAGGTATTTTTTTTTAAATTGCCAACTAGTTGATAATCACGTTATAATACATTTTTTTGATTAATATAACTGAGATAATTATTATGATATCTAAACTTCATTTTCGATTTTCCACAAAAATTACTTTTGATCTCTT